TGTTCTATCGGTATCCACAAGGTGCCCTTAATGATTTAGTCCAAATGAATGTCAATAGTAGATAAGTATTTGGTGATAAGGCGGCATCTCATCAATAGGTGCCTTAGCTCTACACTGGGGACCAGATAACCGGTCCTGGGACAAATAAGCAACAAAGAACTCTAACAAAGAATCATCCATGAACTTATCACCTAACAAATATGCAGTAGGGATCGAAGATGTGTTGGAGACACATTGAAAAGACTGCTGAGTGATATCATGTGCCAGGTAGATCCTCAAGTGGACCAAAAATGGGAAACGATGACGAGCTAGGTGTCCAAGAGTGATATGGAGAGAAGGAAAGTTTATGGACAATCTTTGAGCCAACTGAAGAAAACTAGAGAGAACAGAATGAAGTAGAGATGTGATTATGAAGGCCCACACTCCACTCGGAACCCAATGGAATAATAGCAATAATGAACAAAGTGGTTAAATAATCTCGGATGACTGGCTAATTCTTGTTCTAGAATAGAAGATACGGTTAAAATAAGACAATATTAGAAGAGGACAAAAAATGAAAGGTAGTTGGTCTTTTGTGGATTGTCTTGCTCACTACTTATACACATTTCTTAATGAAGGGAGACACGAATTCACCTTCACACTTCCTATCTTAGGTTAACCGAATCGGAAAAACTATTACGAGGAATTGAGGGATAAAAGTTGAAATACAGTAGATTTGAAAAGTTCAAGTCATTATGATGAGCCAGTAGTCAGTATGAATGTTCAAACATCATTTCAAAATCTCCCATTATTATTCATTTTTAAATCAATTTTGATCTTTCCATTGACTGATTGGGCTGAAAGGTTCGGCGTCCGTTGACATGTCGACTCCACCTAGTACAGACCCATGAATGATGTGTGAGGATTAACTTGAAGTAATTTGATAGGTGGTGGCTAACAGTGGAATCCAGGATGCACCATACATCGTCCCATTGGTGTCTCGTCAGCTAGTGAACGTACCTGCATACCAGGGAGGCTCGAACCCACTACCCATTGTTTCGGACGCCAAAGTGTTATCCACCAGGCCACTATCTTCATTATTCTCATCGCCACCTGCTTGCCATTTTGCTATCATCGACCTTATTATCATTACTATTGCCTTTATTATAATCGTCGTTATTACTGACATATTAACACTTATTATATATGTGATCCATAAATTCTCACGCGATGTGTGACAAAATCGAAAGTTGAAAGTACAGTTTTAGTTCCCCTTCTCCTAAAAACTACCGGTTACACATATAGAATTCAGTATTGAATTTCGCATTTTCCTCTTCAGCTGCGAAATGTATTTAAGTGTTCGCAGAAGTCTTGGTCTATTTAGCATGCAATTTTCCGCCTAACAAAACCAAGATAATTGCTGCAGGACTATACTGCATTAACTCCTAGTGAAATAATTGAGCGTGTTGACTGCTTCACTTAATTGGGATTTTGCATTAGCTGTAGGCGCGACCAGCTGACTGCTAACGAAATCTCATATCACACATGCAAAATGCTCTTTTGACACTTGCCAACTTGCATCACGCTTGATGCCGGTGTGATATCCAGATGTCTGTCCAAGAAAGTGTGCCCTGTGTATCAGATTGCAGATACCTTTCGACTTCAAGTTTGATCATGGATTGATAACAGTTCGAGAACCATTGAAAACCAGGGAGTACTGGAGAGATTAAATCCTTATTATTTTCTATAGGATTATTCTTTCTCCTGAACACTACTGTTTGTTATAGTTTATTTGCATTTCTCTCCTCCAGCCGTGTGTGTGTGTGTGTACTTTCATGAAGTCTCTGACTGATTGACACTTTCAATGACCATGCGTCTCACAGCTATAAATAAGGATAGAGCGAAGTGGTGCACAGTACACAGACGGCCTTTTAGTCATATCCAAGCCGGATAACAACACGTCTACATGAGAGATGACTTAAGTCAGCAAATGACGCACGAGTGTTTTGTCTTCCTGCCAAGATCCCACCAGCAATCAGTCAGTAGATTGGGAGTATTGATGCAACTTCTCAAATAAGAAGAGTGGTCAGCACTCTCAACCACTGCACCCCTTATATTTCAGACTACGGGTTGATCATCTTACAATTTACAGGAACGAATCTGAATTTTGTAAGCATCTTCATCACCTAGGTGAACAAAATGAACATATTCAAAGTCGACGAGACTGTTGTTTGGCAACAAGTCAATCCCTAATTCGGTAGAGTAAGTTAGGGGAAATCCCACTAGCACATATTTACATGATGAAACTGAACACAAATGAGGATAGTTGACATCTTTGACAGACACCAGTTGTTGTCATCATTTCAGAAGACAATTCTCCATAAGCTAATATACACAGCTGCATCAGTTTGAGTAAAGCGCCTTGATTAGCAGGATGTACTTTCTCGACACTACCTTCACGGTCGAACACTGTCACAACATCTCTTGGTCGATGGAGTCGAATTCCACCGTCAGGTCAAGTAATATGGCTATTGTTGGACACCAGTAAGTAAGCGTATTTCCAAAATCTGACAAAGAGTGAATATTGTATAACCAGCCACCTTAACACCTGACTGGCTTTCTCGGATTCGTTTATATGATGAAGTTAAACAAAAACAGGACAGTTTCACTCATCATATATATAAATAGTAGTTATATTTTTCTGTGTCTCTTTGAATACATATCACAAATGTGAAAGTGTTTTTTTACAAGAAAGAAAGTGGGTTGGTTGTTAATTACAATGAATCATTTACACACATTAACAACAACAACAACAACACTACCAACCACGACAGAAGTCGTAGTCATTCATCATCTCATCTCATCCATTCACTTCTTAGCATAGCTAAACATAATCTTAAATTCATTGATTTCTGTTTCAGTACACCGGCTAAATCTGGTATATGTATTACTTTTGGTGTAGAAGTAATGCCTGAACAACTAGTAGTATCATCATTATTCCATATGACACGTAATAAATGATAACGCCAACTTTGTTGAGAGGCACACAACAATTCAGGTAAGGAGAATTCAAATAAATCTGTACTAGAATTGGCATTAATTTCACTGTTGGCAGTATTATTATTATTATTATTGCTATTGTTTGGTGCCATTGTTGACTTGACTTCAAGGAATATAGGACCGATGGCTAATACACCTGGTCGTAACGATGATGACGACGGCAAACTCTTAGTATCTTGATGTGATGATGATGAAGATGGACTACGAATTACACGAACAATATTACACGCCAGCTCATTTCTTAAATTCTCCATTAATCCGTTCCATTTATTGGCGTCACATTCAACTAAAAAAATTAAACAAATAAATAAATAAAGGAAGTTATACCAAAAGGGGGAAAAAGGTGGAATAATACTTAATTATTAATTGAAGGGTCAAATCTTATACCTTACATGACCTATGTGGCCAATTAAAGCACTAAATATATAAAACAATTAGTTCCCTTTATCAATTTAGATAAAGCAATTTGAATGTACGTGTGGACACATATACATAAGGAGGATTCATCGATCTCTGAAAGTAAGGGCTAGCTTCAGAGCATATTCCTAAATGGCTCCAGAAGCAGACAGAATCCCCAGAACCCGTTGAAAGTGAGAACAGGAAAGAGACAGCTCCTCTATTGTGATTCATATTATAAAGACAGGACATAAAATTGATGTTTACACACCTCTTTTAAACCTGGCTATAAAACCTAGTTGGGGGGTATCCCAAAGTTTGTGGAAGTTCATCACACTAAACCACCTTCCTTGGTAAACTTCGTTTTGAAACCATAGTAGATGTACTATCACCTCCCTTCTTTGGTTTAGTGCTCTTCATTGTTATTTTGCCCTTCAACATGTCCTTTTAACGTGAGCAAAATTTATTTTCCCACTTCTTAAGTCTTTATTAATTTCATATATATATTCCTATGACAGGTCCGTATGTGTGTGATCCGATTGTTCGAAATGTGTTGCGCAAATACACAATACATGATTGAGATAAATGTCTTCCTATTGCTTTGTCTAAATTAAATATGTAGTAAAATAGGTAGTCTCACTTTATGCCATTTTCAGCTTCCAGTTTACTGTACTACAGCTTAATGAGTGCTAAATGAAGGCCAACAAGACTATAAGGACACTAGAAATCGAATTAGGAATAAAGATGTCAGATACAACAATGTCTAATATTTCCAAGAAACCTGACATCATTTCTAGTTTATTGTAAAATTAGATAACGGTTCAAATGAACCAACACAGATCTCTGAAAAGCCTTATCAATGCACAACAAAAACACATCTCTCTATAAGATTTGAACAAAATGAGCTGGTGGAAGCAGCTTCAGTGTGCAAATGCATAACAAGTTTATCATGCACCGTACATCGATAGTGAGCAGTAAGCAACGAAAGCCAAGCAGGATAGAAAAGGTAGGCCGCCAGACAATAGACAACAGCTGACCATCATTTAGGATGACTAAAAGGCGACTAGAATTTAAAAAGCCTGGCGTTGAATAAACTATAATTAACAAAAACGAGTCAATAATTCCCTTATTAAGAATGTTGATTGGAAATAAGGGCGAAAACGGAGTTATAGTAAAGATCAACTGGCGCAATATTCAGTCGCATTACCAAGAGCTTTAAGCAAGACTGTGAAGTATATAGTAGATATGGCTTAATGTATAATACATATTTATATGTATATCGGGAAATAGTCATTTATTCCACAAATAGTATTTAATATTATGACACACCCTGGGAGTGGAACCGGAATAAGGAACAGTGAATTGGGCATTAATCCGATGGTGATATGGAGGAGATTGTGTAGCGCCGTAGTGTCATCTAACAAGAACTGCAGAGAACACGATAAAATAGAGGAGAGCTACTGAAACCAACTACCCTCCCCCACCTTCCCTATCTCCCACTCGGAACCCAACAGAATATCAATAATAATAATAATAACAGTTATATATGAGTGATAATCAATTACCTTGAACATCTACTTCCAGATCATATGGTCTCATTGATTCATTCTCCGAATTACACCAATTACATCGAATCAATCGTCCAACACCGAGTAGTGGATGACCGGTAGGAAAATCACAGCTAGCCATTTCATCAAAACCAGTCTGATGACGATTTTCTCCTCGACGAATATAATCTAATAGTGTCTGGTAAATATACATTTCACCTAGACGACCAATATTAGTCAACCTGTCGGTTGGATTAGATAGGATACGCTGTAGACGTGTTTTTAAGTATTCTGGAAGGTTTGTATTCTCCTGTGACCAGTATTTTGATAGAGGAGAGGATGTACTATCAATTGTTTGTACAGTTTCTTTAGAAAGACGAAGAAATGGAGCAGCTGCAGCTATTGTAGGGCAAACAAAAAAAACAAACAAAAAAGGTGTTACAATGAGAAAAGGAAAAAGGGCGCTCATTAGACTTTAACAAATATATATAAATATTCAGGTAATGGTTTGAGAGGGATTTGATTGGTTTGAATTTTGATCGTGAACTGACTTCGATTGGAACTGAATGGTCGACCAGCTTGGTCTGGTAACTTAACGGTCCTTGGTTTAATCCCTGGTGGGGTCTTCGGTCGGTCGGTCGGTTTTCGACATAGAACTTTGCACATATGTGCAGCAGTTCAAGTCGCCACACTCCATGTAGCACACAAAGAAAGAGAAGAAAGTAGAAGAAATGCATAATAGAGACAGTAAACAGAGGTGTGAGACAAAGGAATAGTGATAACGAAGAACAAAACAGTTTAATTGGAAATCATAAGTCACAAGGAGTGGATGCATCTAGGCCAGCCATTGAGACCGATTTTTAGACATATCACCGATTATCTCCAGTCATTGGTGTTTACCGTCCCGAGGACCCCAACCAGGAAGTCTACACCTCCGTACGTGACTGGCTGACTCAAACTAACTGTTGTGGATTTCACTGACTGATGCCATGTTTTGGTTTGACCGCCACTAGCTCCTTTCCAGCCTGGCCCTATATCAGCTAACATTGACCGTCGAGGAAGGCGATGACTAGGCATACGTAACACATGTCCTAACCATCTCGGTCGATGTAATTTCACAGTCTCGTCGACTGATTTCCCCACCTTACTTAGCACTCGACGCCTAACCTCAATATTGCTCACCTTATTATACCACTTCACGTGGGAGATAGAACGCAGACACCTATGATTGAAGACAGCTAATCTTTTCATGTCTTCCACTCTCAATGGCCAGGTCTCACAGCCATAAAGGAGGACGGAGCGGACTGTTGAGCAGTACACACGCCCTTTGGTCGATAGTCGGATATCACGTCTACGCCAGAGACGGTGTAAACTGGCGTATGCGAAACTAGCCCTCTGTATTCGTGCTGAGATTTCGTCTGAGATCAACCCGTTGGGGCTGATGGTACTTCCCAAGTAAGTGAAGCGGTCAACGTGCTCTACCACGTACCACGGGTCTTGGATGGGCACTGCTTAGGAGTACAAAACTAGGACGAAACAGCTGTCTAATACTCCTCCCTAGAGGTTTTCGAAGATTCTCTAACTGAAACCAATCTGTGATCAAGCTTGAATGAAATGTTCTTTAAGACGACTAGCCATATTTCAAAGAAAGCATGCAGGAAATAGGAGAACAGAAATAAAACAGATACTACAATAAAGAAAAACATGACTGTGACAAAAGAGAAAAATAATTAATTGAAGGTTGGTGAATTCCGGCCCAAGTGGTTGAATCGGTCAATGAGCTTGGTCTTGTAATCTGAAGGTTCTAGGTCCAATTCATGATATAGTTATACCTTGGTATAGTTTTATCCTCTGACCTTACTTGGTCATTCCATATTTCATTGATCTCCAAGAAAATGTTCTGCCTAAGCTACAATCTTGAATTACTCAACCTCTGCTCTCACAGTTTGTAATCGTGTATCTTAGTCTTTTTTCGGTCTACTAAAACAGGACTACGTCACTTTGAGAAGGGTATTCAAGGTTGTTAGCAGGGCAAGTGGTGTGCAACTTAGTCAGCTTGTCACTACATCAGTTAATAGGCATCTAAACTTTTGCAAGAAATCGTCTAAATCTATTTTGTCTGGTCCTCAACACCCCCTCTATTTTCACTCACCCCATACACCTCATCTGGTAGAACTAGAAGTCAGTACAAGATTATATGCTCGTACTACCAAGTAAAGGAACTCAAAGATACCATATTTGGCCAGCCCTTGTTGTGTGACAGAGACAAGTAAAGGTGAAACTTATGAATTACTATGCTGTTAGCTAAATAATTGGCCTTCTATTATCTTTTATTGTAATCTATGGTGACAATACCTCAATTCAGTGACAATCTTAGCTACTAACCTTATTATCATTTCTTTTTGTATATATATATATATATATATATATATATATATATATATATATGACTTCATTGTCAATGTAGCACACAAAGAAGAGAAGAAAGTAGAAAAAATGCATAGAAGTAATGAAAAATAGTAAGAAGAACAAAACAGTTTCTTGGAAATCATAAGTCACAAGGAGTGGACGCATCTGCGCCAGTCATTGAGAACGATTTTGAGCCATGTCACCAATTGTCTCCAGCCGTCATCGGTTTTTACTATTCCGAGGACCCTAACCAGTTAGGAAGTCTACACATTACTACATGGCTAGCTTAAACGAACTGATGTGGATTTCATTGACTGATGGAGGCATGTTTTGGCTTGACCACCGCTAGTTCTTTTCCAACCTGACCCTATGTCAGCTAACATTGCTCGTCGAGGAAGGCGATGACTAGGCATACGTAACACATGTCCTAACCATCTCAGTCGATGTAGGTTCACAGATTCGTCGATTGATTTCCCCTCCTTACCTAGCACTCGACGCCTAACCTCAATATTGCTCACCTTATTATACCACTTCACACGGGAGATAGAACGCAGGCACCTATGATCAAAGACAGCTAATCTTCTCATGTCTTTCACTCTTAATGACCAGGTCTCACAGTCATATAGGAGGACGGAGCGGATTGCTGAGCAGTACACCCACCCTTTGGTCGATAGCCAGCCGGATATCACGTCTACACTAGAGATGGCGTAAACTAGCATATGAGAAATGAACCTTTTGTGTCTGTGCTGAGGTTTCGTCAGAGAAGTCGGGTTCGAATCCCACTCCACATACTTCACTCATGGAGTAACTGGATAATAACCATCAGCTATCATTCATAGATAAAATATGTATTTCATACATTACTGAATAAAACAGAAATAATCCTATATCAAAATACATTACCTTGAAGAGCAGTAATAGTTGTATCATATCTTGTACTCTGTGAAGTATACGACATCGATGACTTTGTAGTCGCTTGATCGAATGAAGTAAGCCGATCAGTTATATTTTGATTAACTGACAAGCTGTTAGTATTTACAATTGTTACATCACTTTCATTCTGATGCATAGATACAGTTGGTTCCTGTTGTTGTAGAGGCACTGGTGCTGGTGGCACCAGCGACTGAGGAGGACATAACAGACGTAATTCACGTCTTGCTCTCATTTGTTTAACACCATGTGAGACAAGATAATTCTCTAATTGATTTAAAAAGGTTGAATTGATACCTTCGCTTATCATTATAATTGGATCAGGTTGAATAGACAGAGCAAGGTTAATAAAACCTTGAATAAATTGTCTAAAATAAACAAATCAGAGAAAAAGAAAAGAAATAATGATCAAACAAAAGAAAACAGGAACTTAGGTTAATGCATCCACCATATATTACTGTTATTATTTCCTTGGGTTCAGAGTAGAAGATAAGGATTCGCAAGTACATCTCTACTACGCTATGTTCTCTACAGTCCTTTTCAGCTGACTCTGTGGTTGCCAATACACTTTCATTTTGTCTTTACACGATCTCTTGCATGCCCCCCACTCATCTTCGCCTGACACAAGTTGTTAATCAGCAGTCTCCATGGCGTAGGACCATCCCCACCTGCACACTTCCTTCTGTACATTTGTTGACCAATAGGCTTTTTGATTGATTCGTTGCACTGCAAAGTTCCTTGTTACCTATCCTTTTTAGCTGACTATCTGATCTTCATCATCAAGTGAAGGGGGCTATCAATGTTAGTGAATACTGAACGGCTTGTTTATTCGAACTAATCTCCAATTGGCGGGAGACAACAATGCCGACCGTTGTGCTTAATCGTATGCTGGTTGGCAGACAACTGGAGAAATACATTCAGAAGTAATATTGTAAATTTTATTACTATGCATATAGTAACTTGTAATCCAGTTCCGTAATCAGTGGAGAAATAAACAATCATATTGTCCTTCCATTTTCTGATATTCCGTGCTGGTTACTGTGCATAGTACTCGGTGTGTTAAGCATAGTCTTCTTAAGACAGCAATAGGCTCAGGATCCTTTGCGATCTGGACGTTTGACAGGGGTTGTTGAAAGTCTATAGTAGCTTGTCCAAAATGCTTTCTATGAAGCGTACCCGAAGTCTTTGAATCATATAGAAGCATTGATTGACTTGACATTAGTGTTGAAAATCTGAATCATGTTCTTTATGCTTTCTCAATCTAATCCTGTGTGGCTTTTACATCCTCAATCGTATCGCCTGTAATAGGAACAATGCTGTCTATAATGTTGACACTTTTGCTTTAATTCATTATAGATGTATTTATGAAGAGGTGATCCAGACTAACTTGGAAATCTTACAGAATGACTTCTTATCAGGGTGGGTTAACTAAAGTATTCGGTTATGTGGCAAAGTCAGATTTAGTCGCGTTAGAATGGTGTGAATTAAATCTTTCTGTGATAATCATAGAAAGATTAGCTTGACTAACATAGTATCTAAAATTCAAGGTTCAATAATAATAATAATCAATAACTAAGTCACTTTACTCAAACTCAGACAATCGTTTAAGAGCTAAACGAGAGTTTTCATGAAAAGTGATAAAAACCAGTGGCGTATGCTGGGGATACTCACTGCTCCCTTTTTGATCAATTTTGTCATAGATGTGTTAACGGATGTGACCGTAGTCAACTTTAGCGATTTAGGGATTGAGTTATCAGCAGAGTGCAGTCTCACCGATTTAGAGTACACGGATGATACTGTACTTCTAATTGAAGACCTTCTCTTTTTCACAAATGCACAGGATGTTGCATGACAGGTCTGCACCGACTCTTAGTTTATGCATAGGCAGTGAAATAGTTGAACGTGTTGGTTACTTCATTTATTCTGAAAGATGAATCACACCTGATGGAGACTGTTTATTTTTATTTATTTACACAAACACAGACCCTGGTACAATACGGGCTCCAAAAAGATTCGCTACACAATATTAGTAAGACAACAGTATATAACAATAGGAAGGGAATGAATTAAGAGCAAGCGACATTTGTGTCATTACCGTCAGAAAGGGAAGAAAGAAGGAAATCTCAGCAAGTTCGCCACTGACTGCGATTTTTGGCCATATCTGATAACGTTTCAAGCCACCGATTTGAACTATCTCTCGGACTCCAACCAGGGAGTTGTGATATAACGACCGATGCCAATCTAACACAAATATCCTTCATCGCACAACACCACCTCATAGGCTGAACAATTCCCCCCCCCCTTTGCTACTCAATCCCAAGGCTAGTGAACAGAGACCGGAACAGAAGCCTCTGGAATGACATTTGCAGCACATATCGAAGCCACCGAAGTTGGTGTTTCTAGATGACGACACCCAATGAATGGTGACCTCCACTGTGTCGAGACACATGCTGCCAGACGTCAGAATTACTCACACGATGATGCCATCGAATGCGAGCAGTTCTACGGAGACAGCGATGGTCGATGGAAACTGACTGGTTCTTGACAAAGTTCTAGCACACATACACAGAACGCTCTTTTGACACCTGTTAACTTACGTCATCATCTGTGGTTCTGGTATGACATCCACCTATCAATCGAAGAACGCATGTACTGTCTAACACATAACCAATACATTTACACCTTGCAGTTGCCTAGATCCATTAAATCCTTTTTTCCTCTGAACATTTTCTATTCCAACTTGACGTGTGTTGCAAATTTTGTGAAAAGTTCGAAATTCCATCTGTCGGTGAAATACGTCTATTTCAGAAAATTTACAACATTTAGCAAAGTATACACACACACACATCAAAATGTATAAAACTTACATTAAATTCACTTTATTCTGTCCACCATATGGACAGATAAACTCGATAATTTGGGATAACATCGAATTCTCAGTGATACCATTACTACTAATATTAGACATTTTAGTAGTATTTTTATTGTATAGAATTGGGTCATTCATACAAGCAAATAATAAGTAGATTAATTGTATACTATTCTCTGGTGGGATTTGTGATAAATTAGCAAATATCTGAGCACCGAATGTACTGTCAAGAAATAGCTTGCCATTTAACAAAGCGGTAATTAGACGTTTTGATATATACGGTAGGCGATTGAAATTGGCTATCCCATTGGTTTTTGATGTGTTAAAGGTTATAGATATGTGTAAATGATCAACCTAGATGTCAGAATGATTGATTGATGAAAAACAGAAGAAAAACAGATACCATGAATGACTACAATAACATATTATACAAATTGTTTCAAATATAAACAAATATTAAAAGGTCCGAGTGGCTTAATGGTCTACGAGCTATCTCGCCTTGTAACCGGAAGGTCCTGGGTTTCAGCTCTAGCGATGGGTGCACACTGATGAGGATTCCCAAACTAGAACGAAACAGTTGTTCAGTACTCCCAGGTTTTCCAATGGTTCTCTAGCCGATGTCAGCTCATGATAAAATCCTGTAACCAATAAACAAAAGTAATTTAGGTAATTCCTGAATGACAGAGGCTACCTTGATGTGATGGTTTGGGTGTAACGTTCCCGCATGTTCTACCATGCTAGAGACATCATTTTGGATGTTGGCTCGACTATAAGCAGCTTCAGATATAGTGGAACATGTTTACATTATGTTGAGGGTCTATGAGCCAAGTCCTACTGTGATGTTGCCTCTACGCTCTGGTTAAAAATGGTCGACGCTGAAACTATTACACTTCGACTTACCTTGCAGCAGTCCGTTATCGTCTGTCAGATCTTTATACGGACACAACTCAAATTACGGCTTCAAACAGGTCGTGTGACTGGCCTCAAGCAGGTGGTCAAGAAATACTAATGTTCTTCCTGTTTCAGGTACTTCTAAAAGTAATCAACTTCCAAATTGTGGACAGTCGAGAAGTTATAGCCAGACACACATTTCAGAAAGCAAGCAAAGCTTTCCTAGTTATCAAGTTAAGTGATTTTTTTATAAGGCTAAAAGAAATCGGAACTATGATAATCGCTAGCAGATAAGTGTGGCACGTGTCAGTAAATCCACAACGGAAAACTCAGCAAGGCGTTCGAAGTGAATACTAGAGTAAGATAAGCTGGCTGCCTGTAATTATCACTGATGATATACCTAATTGTGGTGGACTGGATTATGCGGTACACCATGCGTGAGGAATGAGAAGACAGGAATACACCGGACAGATAAGAAGGCTCTAGAAGATCTGGATTTATCAGGCGTCACACAAACTCGAAGATCTACAGGTGAAAACCAACAGTTTGACAGAAGTAGCAAAGACAAAACTTCAAGTGAACAACAAACACCAACCACTATCAACGGAATGAATTCGAAAGACATCACATCCTTCACTTATCTAGGAAGCAGCCAACAGCACGGATGAGGATGTTGAACCAATCAGAATCAGAAGGACAAGGTACACCTTCATAACTCTGAAATCAGTTCTGAAATCTTCTACACTCCGCCTCAACATAAAGAACAAGATTCAGAAATTCAGAATAAAAGTTACGTCACTTCTTCTATATGTGTCTGAGATCGGGCGCGTTATGGAAAGCATTTCCAACAGGTTGGTGCAGACTTTTATGAACAGCTGCCTTCCCTGACTGCATATTGAAGATCAGATGGCCGACTAGAAAGAATCAGCAACAAGAAACCAATCAAGCATCTATTGCTCAACATATATGTAGGAGAAAGTGAGGATGGATTAGGCACACACTGAGGAGACCGTCGAATGAATTCGCGCGATAGATCATCGCTTGAGTAGGACCCTAATGGGAAATGACGAGTGGGGCGATGGGCCAAAGGTGACATGGAGGAGATCGTGTGAGTCGGAGAAGACGAGAGACTATGGACAATCATGGGATCAGGTAAAGAGGACAGCAGAAAATAGGATAAAGTGGAGATGTGCTGTTGAAACCTTCTGCTCCACTCGGAACCCAAGGGGACAATAATAATACGTGTCAACCTCAAAGGAAAAGTTTTCCTCATTTCAGAACTTCTGGGAACCGAAACAGGTCAATCATGATGGACCACTAAAGAACTACAAACCGTTCAGTGGTTTAAGACATGTCGTGTGAGGGGGGAGATAATATTACCCAGTTTTTTTTTCAGGCTGAAATAGGTGGAGTGCGATTAGAACCTGAGACCCATAGGTTGGAAGTCCACTGTTTTAACAAATACACGACTGCCGATGAATCCCAAACTAGGATGAAACAGCTGCCCAGTACTCCCTGGTTTTCAATGGTTCTCTAACTGATATCAATCCGTGGTCTGACCTGAGACAAATACACTACATTTCCAATATAAGAACATACACATATCACTGGTAGCTAAGTGATGGAGTTCTCACCAGCCTGACCCGATGGCTGAGGTTCAATTTCCGTTCAATGCACTTAAACCCATAGACCTTCCCTGACTAGTTTACTAGCCAACAGCAAGTCCGAAAGCGACGGAAGGTTTGGCGTGAGGTTAGCCTACCCCAACTCGCATAAAGACAACACCGCTACTAGAATCTTCAAAACTCAAGTCCTATGTTCCACTCGGAACACAAAGGAATTAAAATAATAATAATAAAATAAACGTACCAGAAATGCGTTAATCTCTTTTGATTCAATAATTGAACGAATAGCCTCTTGATCAATCGCAGTAGCTGTTGTAGAGTTGGAAATATACTGTCTAGTAGCAGTACTACTACTATTAGAAGAGTGACTAGTATTATTATTACTGTTATTGGAAAACGATTGTGTTGAATTACACCATAGCAGGATTAAACGCATAAAACCTTTTAAAAACATATCCAATGATCGACATGGTATCATAAAGGAATCCGACTGTGGTTCTGTGATGATACAGCTTTTATCCCCATGATGTTTAATAATTAAATCACCAGTATGATCTATGATCTATAGAAAAAAAGTGTTAATATAGAACAAGTGTAAAGCAACAGTAAAGAAAACTGTAACGACACTTTTAAAAAAAGGAGAATAAATACATCGTAGAATGTTTCGTTCAGTGATGAGTAGCAGTGGAATCTATTTGTGATTCGTTTTAGCTGGATGTCCCCCCCATCCAACCCATTGACAGATGGATGATGTTCCCACTGGGACTCCAACATTTCATCCATCGTTTTAAACACGACAAAGCATTAACCACCAAGCCACTGGGTCCACAAAATCCACCTCTTATGTAACAGATATCAATTATCATCAATCAACCCGACCGAAAGCTGCTACCTTGACGTGGTGGTCGGGCTTGAACACCACAATGACCCAACAAGCTATACTGGCTGAGACTTATGTCGCTTGAGGTCCTACCATGCCAGAAACGTTATTTGGATAGCGGTTAGACAAAAAGCGGCTACCCAATCCAATACTATGACTCAAACAAAATCACAAAATATCATGCCGGATCAGTTGGGGCCCGGATTAATAACGACCACGTTTCCTGCTGCTGTGTCACAGGGCAGAAGTGATAAATATGCTACTAAGACACACCAAATAACAAAGAACAAACAAAAACAGGCAGTGTGTGACCGGCCTCAAGCAGTTGTCCCCTGGGCTCTGCAGTCACGCAACCAACTTCCACGGTGTGGGCAGCCGGGAAGTAACAATAGCCTTCACAATCCAATCCGAATCTGTCTCTGTCTGAATTCAACATAGAACTTGGCACCGAAGTGCAGCAGTTCGAGTTGCCACGTTCCAAATAGCACACAAAGGTAGACAGGAAAAGGAGAGAAGAGAATCAATAGAATTTAGATAAGTATAAGATTGAAACAGAATGAGTAATGGTAGAAAGGAATATGAAGGTTAAAGAGACTGAATACATCTGCGCCATTGACAACGATTTTGAGCCATGTCACCTAGTGTCTCCAGCCATTGATTCTTAGAGTCCCGAGGGCCCCAACCCGGAAGTCTGCATCTCCCTACCTGACCCAGTTTAACTGTCAGGGATTTCATGGATTGATGCCATGTTTTTGTTTGGCCACCGCTTACTCTTTTCCAGCCTGCACCTATATCAGCTAGTAATGCCCGTCGGGGGAGACGATGGTCAGGCATGCGCAGCACGTGGCCTAACCATCTCAATCTATGTAACTTCATAGCCTCTTCGAGTGATTTTCCCTCTTTGCCCAACACTCTACGCCTAACGTCAACATTACTTACCTTATTATACCACCTAACGTGAGAAAGAGATCGTAAACATCTGTGGTCAAAAACAGACAATCTCTTCATGTCTTCCGCTCTCAATGGCCACGTCTCACCGCCATAGAGAAGGACGGAGCGAACTGATGAGCAGTATACACGTCCCTTGGTTGACAGCCGGATGTCACGCCTACGCCAGAGATGGTGTAAGTTAGCGAAAGCAGCCCGAGCTTTCTGGATCCGTGCTGTGATTTCGTCACCAATCAATCCGTTGGTGCTGATACAACTTCCCAAATAGGTGAAGTGGTCAACATGTTCTATCACTTCACTCCCTATCACTAAGCTAGGAGTTGACGTAGTCCAGTCCTGTAGCAGCATCTTACATTTCACAGGGGCGAATCGCATGCCAAACATACGAAGATTGCTGCTCAAGGTGTTCAGAAGACTCTGCATTTTGTCAGCGTCCTCCCCTAACAGGACTATGTCGTCTGCGTATTCTAAGTCTATAAGACTATTCCCTGGTAACAAGTTGATTCCTAAGTCATTAAGTTCAGTTAAGGATACTTCCATTAGCTTATCTATGATGAAGTTAAACAGAAAAGGGGAAAGTGGACATCCTTGACGGACACCACTAGTTGTTATCAATTCAGATGACAATTCCCCATCAGCCCTTACACAGCTACGTGAGTTTGAGTAGAGTGCCTTGATTAGTGCAATGTACTTTCTTGGCACTCCTTTTACAGTCAAACATTGCCATAGTACCTTTCGATCCACGGAGTTGAAGGCTGCCTTCAAGTCAAGAAATATGGCAATTGTTGGACGCGTAAAAAAGTTTCCAAGTTTTAGGATCTGTCGGAGAGTGAAGATAAGATCTATGCGCCCTCTAAGTGGCCTAAAGCCTGCTTGATTTTCCCTCGTTTGTTCCTCCCTAGTTCGGCTTAGTCTGTTCATGATTACTGAGCCTAGGATTTTAGAGACTATGTTCGTTAAGCTGATCCCCCTATGATTATCACATGACGACTTGTCTCCCTTCTTGAAAATCGGTATAATAAGTGACTTACCCCAGTCTGATGGAACCGTCTTTGATTCCCAGACGTTACCTAGTACCTTAGTTAAACTATATACTAGTATGTCACCCCTATATTTAAATATCTCCGGAATAATTCCGTCGGGTCCTGCCGCTTTGCCTCGTTTCAACTTACAGATAGCTTTGGTGACCTCACTTACAGACGGCGGGCCAGTGTCTATGTCCCATTCGGGTGTGTGCTGGATGGCGGGGAGGCTCAGTGTGGCTGTAGGCAAGTTGAACTGTTCCTCGAAGTGTTCTTTCCAGCGTTCGAGGCGTCTATCCTGAGAACTAATTAAGGAGCCATTTTTCTCACAAATAGTCTCACTTATGATTTGCCTTCTCCCACCCGTTCCCCTGATGAGTCCGAATCATCAATCAACGGGGAAATACAAATTAACTTAAAACCAAAAAGCCATAGGACTCCCAGTGTTAGGAAATTTATGAAAGTGGCATGTCAATTAAACTCATATTTATACAGTATCAATTGCTTTGATTGATCAATAGGTAGTAACACCACTGTCCCCCTGTGAGATTCAAACCAGCATCAACAAGTGTTGCAGTCAAAGATAGACGTTAACACTGATATATTCGAATCCCAAAGGGGAAATCAGTTCATTCAAGAGTGTAGATACACCGTGTTGACAAGCACCAGCAAGCACGGAACCTAAGTGTTCAAGACTTCCTGTCGACTATCTTCAACTATCTAACGTCATTTCAGTGAGGTTGACCATATATTGTACAGTTTTGAGCAATAGATAAATGAATAATTAGTTAAAGGACAGATATGATGTATCTAGAAGATTTCTTCAGCAGAACATCCTTGTGTTCGATTTCATGTTTACTGATATTGATCGATTAACATGAAATCATTAATGTACTATTATGCACAACGGTGTGTATTATCACTAAAATATTTCAATTAGGACGTCGGATTAGTCAAAAACTGTCAACGATTTCACAAAACTTTACTGTATCTATCACACACTCTATTCACTGGTTACAATCAGAAGACAGAGACATCAAGACTTTAGAAACACAGCAAGTTAGCGAAGCATACGAAACATGAATCTCCATCGGATAACTCATGTGCTGGAAATTGAATATTAGACAAGCAAGAGCACTGGTTGAAAAGTATCTTACCTAAAATTTCTAGAAATGTAAACTTTTGTCTACTCCTTACATTGTCAGTCAATCTAGCAGATACTGAGTCCTAGTTGCTTCTCCTTTTTTATTCCTTTACGTTCCCAGCGGAACATAGGACTACTTCAAGATAGAGCTTTCAGGTTTCAGTAGCAGTGGTATTTATTTTCACGGCATGGGGTTGCTAGCCTCATGCCCAACCTTCCCTCTTTACCAGTCTTGTTATTGGCTTAACGAGATAAAGGAGTGTGTCGGCTGAGGATCGAACTCCAAACCACCTGTTTGGTTGGCGAGCATACTACTACTGTGCTACCGACGCTTCTGATTTGGGCAAAATGCAGAGGAGTTGACCTGCCCGTACTAACTACGATCATCAAGAAGCTTACAGTCGACAGTTGCAGACTGTTGGTAGACATGACCCAAGATAATTGTCAATAATGCAGATGCGATCTTCTAGATCCATTTAAAAATTTTACCGTTCAACAGGACGATCTTAACCAATGGACTATTATCTCATCTTATACTTTTTTCCCCAATACAACATTTGTTGAAATTGCTTTGAATTTGCTTTAATCGATGTCACTAAATTCTAACATTCATCGATTTTGTATTTACCACCCCTGTCGCCTCAGTTGTTCACTCAATTACAGGGTCAAAGCAATATAATATATTCAGAAGATGTAATTAAGAACGAACTTAAGATTCCACATGATACCTCAATTTAAAGAAAACCGCTAACCAGTAAAGTGTTCATCACGGAACATATAGCCAAGAAAGTCAAAAAGAAATGTTCTATATCTTTGTAAACGAGAAGCCTATATACATTTGACGACAATTAAGAGATGACGTGCATGAAGTAAATTAATAACCGATTCAAAGGACTGCTAATGCCGAATAAACTGCAGGTTATATCTTTCACACGATTAGTTGTGATTCCGAAACCAGGAAGACGAAATATCTACGCTGGATACTTCTTTTGGTGCCTATCACTTCAACTGCTCCTGTAGAGCTAATTATAAAGGTGTGGTAAACACAATCAACAGTGTTCTGTATTAGACCACCTAGTTAAAACCCGTCATAAAGCTAGTATGACCTTCCATCTTGTATGTACAAATAGCCTCCAAACCCACCCAAACCTTAATAATGCACAGTGTATAAACAAACCTATTGTTTTCCTATTTAGACTTAGTAATATATATATATATATATATATATATATATATATATATATATATATATACCAGTACGCCAATTTCTCTTCCTGTTGTTAAGATTGTCGTCCATCCATATGAAGTTTGTAATCACTATAGGCAGACGGAATGGATGAAGATGTCAAAGACAGTCAGTCAGAATTGGAAAGGCAAGATACGCCTTCATGAACCTGAAACCAGTTTGGAAATCTCCTGTCACTCAATCAGCATAAACAATGAGATTCACATTTTCAACACAAATGTGGAGTCAGTCAGTCAGTTCTTGTATACGGGTCAGAAACTTGCACTGCCTGTCACGAAAACGATTTCCAACAAGTTACAGAATTTTATCAGCAGCTGCCACCTTCGCCGGCTGGCTCCATACTGAAGATCAAATGGCCAGAAAGAATTAGCAAAGAGAAACTCTGGCTGACAACAAACCAACAGGCGAGAGCCAATTGCTCAACAAATATGTATGAGCAAATGCAGATGGATTGGGGATACATTGAGGAAACCGTTGAATGACATCACGCACAATACAGACCATCGCTCTTGTGGAATCTACATGCGAAGTGACGAGTGCGTCGTCGGGTCGACGGTGACATGCAAGAGATCGTGTGAAGAAGAGATAAGAGATTTTGGTTAATCGTGGATCCAACCGAAGAGGATGGCAAAAAATTGAACAAAGTGAAGTTCTTCCATTTGGAACCTAAGGGATTAATAATCTAATAATGATTAAAATCTAGTGCGATGAATATTAGTGACGAGCATTCAATACTGCTGCTACTAACTACATATTCGTCATTATTAATGGTCATTTACTTTTGATGTTCAATCTAGTGCTTCTGCATTTATATGCTATATATCATCACTTACAATTGAGAACTTCAGAAGCGAACTGAATCCCTTGAACTCATACAGTTAATGAAAAAAGACGACCCAAGATTTATGAAGGCATATAACTGTAGAACCTGGTGAAGAAGAAGAAGTTATCGAAAAGGAAATTTTCTATGCTCCCTGGTAATCTCAGTCTTTTGAATTTACAAGTAATTAAAACAACAGAACTAACCGGTAAACCCAATAAATCAAGCAGTAGACTATGTGCAGTTCCTTCATTATGATACTGTCTTGATGATGATAATGCTGCTGCTGTTGATGACTGCAATGAAGACGACAGCGTCGATGATGATGACGATGACGTAAACTGATCCAATAGAAGTGAAGTACTGAATGTTGATGATCCTGATGATAAATGAGGTCTTGTAGGATGATTAGCGGTTGTATATCGTGAATGTAGACACTGCAAACTTTGCGCTAGAACTCCAAATGAAGTATTACGACTACCATCATCATTATTAGCACTATTCTCATTCAGCTTTTTAGAAACAATTTCTTCATGAATCATTTTAGCGTACATTGGTTTCGACCAAGCGAATAAACAGACTTTATCAGCAACAAGTGTATGTGAGTCAGTAGTCACTTCAGAAGGCAGCAGTGTAACAACCTAGAAAGGAGAAATAGGAGAGAAAAAAAAGAAAACAAGTCACTTTGAGTAACATTCAATACATAATTAGTTACCAAATATATTGGCCTATGAGCCACACTTTTTTTGCGAAAGCCAATGATACTAGCTAACAGTTATCTAAGCAGAAGTAGGTAGGGTGGAATTCAAACCCTGAACCTATTGGCCGAAAGTCGAAACAAATCAGCCCTATGTCTTTAATGTTCAACATAAACCACAACGAATTATGTGCCAAAGCTGATGATATCAATTGGATTGTTTAAAAAAAGTTGAGCGAAGAATATCCTTTTCGATAATTTCCTCTTCTGGTTCTACAATTGTGTATATACATAGAATATTCTAGAATAGCCGTCATTAACAATATTGGTGTTTTTAAATACTAATGACTTGTTAGATAAGCTCAGTGAAATTACAGTTCACGAAAGATGCATGAATTATAATAAGCATAAAAATGTATTGGCAAATAGAATATCAAAGGAAATTTCCACAACAAATTGAGGATCACTAAAACTTAGATGACCAAGTTAAGGACAGTGTCTGAACCAGCTTCTTTTGAATACAAAGTAAGGCTTCCTACTGTGGATCCCAACGACCTCCGTAATATGTAGTAGACGATCTTTCAAGGTAAAGTTAAGATTAGTTGGTGTACGGTAGAAGACTTTGAAGGCTTTGTAAACATCAATTTTGTGTTCTGTATCCACAAAATGAGATGGAATACACATATGAGTGGATTTTTTTTGTCCTTTACTTAACCACGCAGGATGTTGTTCGGAAATCGAACGATAAATACGCCTAATTGTACGGCCAATGTAACTGGCTTGACAGGAGCAGTCAAATTGGTAACTACACATAGAAGAGGCAAAATTAGGCAGTTTATGTTTCACGCCCGAACCCAAAATACGGGTGGTTATGAAGACACAGCATACATAATTCAGCAGCACTGACTGCTCTTTTTACCGCCTTATTCCTTAGGCGTTGTGTTAATATCTCACTGATATTATCCCCGAGAAACTGAAGTTGTAAGAATAAGGCCTTTTTCGGAACTGTTGGTACTTTAGCCTGCCTTGATTCTTGATTCATATTCTTATCGATGAAATTTTCTGGATAACCGTTCTCAATCAGCAACTGTCTCATAATATTAAGCTCCTCATCAAGATATTCACAAGAGCAGATTGCTCTTGCTTTGTGGACCAAGCACTTTATCAGATTGTGTTTGTATTTCAAAGGCACGAAGCTGAAAAATGAGTATGCTGACCAGTTGATGTAGGTTTTCTATACGCACGTCTTCTTATTGTACCATCCTCTTTTCTAGTCATAAGAACGTCTAAAAATGAAATACTAGAGTCTCTTTCCTTTTCGATAGTAAAATTTATTGCAGAATGAACATCGTTATATTTATCCAGGGTGTTCTTTGCTTCATCCTAATTTTTCATAATCAAAAATGTACCATCCATGTACCGACAGTAGAATCCCAGTTCATCAATTACATCTTTCAAAGGTCCATTCTCTAGTTTCGCAAGGAAAATGTCGGCTACATTGAGTCCTGGTGAGCTGAGAGCGACAGTTATGGTGTAAGGACTCATGATACTACCGACTTGTCCAGCCTGTAGTCAATGGAGGGTAATTGACCACATGACCCATTTGCTGAAAACTGAGCACTTAAGCCTATTAGACACATTTCCACAAAACGTTTGTACAGAACGAATTGACCAAAGAGGCACTGCTAATAAGTTTCAGTTGTAATTGTTTCAACTGTCAACGAGATCATATTAGTCAGCGACAGCTTCATAAAAAATTAGTAACAACTAGTTACCCATAACCGGTCGGAGTTACAACCCTCAACCCACTGGCTGAAAGCAAAGTGCTTAACTCAACGACTCCAGCTTTTAATAATAAAATAATACACCGACTTCATGTGTTCATCTTCTCCAAAAGTATTACATCACTCAGAAACCAAGTGAATGATATATATATATATATACCGGTGTGTCACACTGCCGGAAGGTATGTCAATATCACGGAATATACACATTGGGTCATAGGAGTTATTAAAAAGACAATTGCAGCGAAGAAAATTTTCTTTCCGACGAAGTCATCATCTAGGCTGTACATTCGTGTATTTATATCAAATGGATAGGAAAGTTCCAGAATAATTTCCGGTTAAGGGTCAAATCAATAAAAATTACAATTAGGAATTAGAATGCCATAATAAACAGGGGATGGATAAAACTCGAACAAAGTATCATTATAATAACTAAGAAGATTGACATTGTGCAATTGGGGGTTAGAAATGTAGAAATAACAAAATACACAGGATGTTTGGATAAAAAACAAATATGATGAATAATTGTTTATGCAATCAGGGATTAAATATGTAGAAATAGTAAAATGACAAAATAAACAGGAAGAGTGGATATGAAAATATGGTAGTGTAGACAGGGATTAAGATTCATTATTATTTATTTATTTATTATTTTTTTATTAATTTGACCCTTAAGCGGAAATTATTCTGGAACTTTCCCATCCATCTGATATAAATACACGAATGTACAGCCTACTATGTCAATATCTCAAGAAGGATGGTGAAATGCATAGGCAGTTAACTGGATAACCAGTCCTACATACTAAGACATGGATAACATACACTGCCAGCTGGTGGAAACTGTAGAACCCCTAAATTTAAACATAAAAAAACGTTACATCAGTACAGCATATCTTGACCAATGAACATAGCACACGGATACACACACACACAAGTATACACTCATCACTCAATTACGTGAAAAAGGCTGAACTTACATCACACGGTCTATGCCATTGTCCAAATGAATCTAATAAAATAGGAAATTGTCTGATATGTTTCATGAGTGGACTTTTATTCAACTCTACATCGATGTTACTACTGGTAGTAGTATTAGCTGAAAGATTTCGAGGTTGTTTCGTTCGCTTTCTTCGTTGTTCATCCGGCTTTTTCTGACCACTATTATTATTATTATTATTATTTTCATCCTCTTTCAGCCGACATTGTGTTGTAAAATATTCTTCACGTAAACAATAATCTAATAAGGCATACCAATGACTTAAACGCTTATTAAATTCATGCATAGATTTCATATGATTTTTCATCATGGCATTTTTCGGTAGATTAGGACGTAAGGAGAGAATTTCATCTATTGTTGAAGTGGTTGGCAACTGAAAGGCAAATAAGTGAGAAAGAAACTCAATAGTGATTATTTTTTTAAAAAAAACACCTAATGAAAACAAAGAAAAGAACTATTTCAGTAAATATAATTCCGAGTAGATTTGCGCCTCTTTGACTAACCTAAACTTTGGTAGGCGCATAAGGCGATTAGGACGAGTGATTTATTCACTGAAAATAAAGTGCTTAAATCAAAAGGATCAGACAGAGATCTTATTCGAGTGATAATGGCTAGTCATAGAATCTATGATGTGCATTTCGTCCTATTTGGGACTCGTCATCAGGATATACACCTCAATCTTCAATGAGTGATGATGTTCCCACTGAGACTCGAACCCAACATGGTCTCCTATAGTTATGAGAAAGAGGATACGGATTTTCAACACTATTATCAAGTAAGCCAGACTTGGCACAGACGTCATCAAAAGCCCATTAAATAGGCTGTTGCAGGCTTTCATCAACGGCTACCTTTTCGCTCGGTTAACTCAACAAATATGGAGGAGGAAATGGCAAGGGTACTAAGCACAGACGATGAAACGACCGTTGAGTGCCACCATCACACACTAGTTCCTCGAGTGGAAACGGAATGAGAAGCGACAAAAGTTGGGGATCCCACAGTAACATGGTAGAAATCATTTAAAGACATGGAACTTTGTGGGCAGTAGTGGAGTCGGCTAAAAATGATAGCAGGAAACAGATTACAATAGAGATGTGTTGCTGAAGGCCTATATTCCAATCAGAATCCAAGGAAGGAACAATAATAATAATTTTACAAAGGATATTATTAAACTGTTGGAAAAAACTGACATACTTAAATAGGACTTTCAAAATATGTATTTGAAGTTACTACTGAATATGCTACCTAGAATGATAGTGAAATTTTCGCGATTATAACCCTTCCACCTCAAGACAGTACAACAACCCTATAGAGTAGAACCATCAATACCACATAAAGAGCACTCAGTCCAACAAGGAGTTGCTTGACGATTAAACAGACCCATGTAAAACTGCTCACTTCGGAAATAAGTTATGTAATTTCAAATCTCAAGAAAAACATAATTTTCTTTATGACAGCAAATACACAATTTTAAATACATAACATATATATATGTATATATACATATAGCGTTACAATTTGAGTAGTCACTCAGGTACTCTAAGTTACCAAGTAATTCTTATCCACTAGCTTCAAGCGGCAGACCTGTCCTTCAAGAAAATGAAACAGCGAATGAGAACATCTGGAGCTTACAACTAGACTGGTGGAGATGTTGAGACACAGAAAGGAGCTAGAAAACCCTGATTCCAAATCTATGTGGGTGTGCATGGGCTCCAGAATCCGAAAGAATCAAATGACGCGTAAACCTGTTTTGGTCACTGGCAACCATGGGAACGTAGCTCTGAACGCTGCTTCACTGTCTTGTATATGAGACTTCAAGTCAAAGGCTCAAGGTGGGGTTGCCTCATTAGACAACCACCTGCTTCGGTCTGGATGTTCAGGTAGTAGTATCCCAAACCTCGTACATAGTATGAGATTTTGTGTGGCGAATGTCATGGTGCCTATAATGTACCAAGTTTGTATTTCCCCGACCGATATCTGCTACCTTGACATGGTAGTTGCGCTTGCAATGACCCAACAAGCTACACTGGCTGAAACTATCGTTCCTGAAGGTCTTACCATGGCCAGGAAGGTTGTTAGGATAGCGAATAGACTAAAAGCAGTTACCGGCACAGTGTAAGAATTTTTTTCACACTATGCTGGGGGTCTGTGGGGGATGTCGTACTGCTGGGGAACAGGGATGTAACAGCAGTAAGGTGTTCCCGTCAGATGACCAACATGCCAGCTATGATGTCTCTCCACTCTGGAGAGAGGGGGTTAGAAGAGGACGACCCCAACAATTGTACATCCCGACTTACCCTACGGTGGTCCGTAACCGGCGGTAAGTTTAATAATACGGAACCAAACCAAGAAACCAGCTCATACAGGCCGTGTGTGACCGGTCTCAACCAGTTGTTCCTTGGGCTCTGCGGTCACGCAATACTAACCCTCCTTCTGTTTCAGGTACCCGAAGAATCAATTAACTTCCGCGATGTGAGCAGCCGGGAAGTAACAACCGCCCACACACTCCCAAAAGCACACGAAGCCTTCCTGAAATTTGTATTTCTAATAATTAATAATAATAATAATGACAATGTAAAACTTACACCAAGCTTTTCAACAAAGAATTGACGTGTCTCTGAACCATAAGATTTCGATAAGACAAATACACGTGAACGATGAACAGGTTTCGCTGGAAAAACTGTTGTTTCTTCACTAAGCCCTGTAGAAGGCAACATCAGGATACACTGATCATCAGCATATCCGCTAACCTCTTCTTCTTCATCATCTTCATCCATATCAGTATTATCGGCAACTGTTGTTGCTCGAACTTTCTCACTAACAACAACCACAGCATCACCATCATTATAATTTAGAATATGATCAATAGCTACTGACTGCCAACAGACCATATCAATATCAACTAGATGATATATCGGTGTAGATTCACCGTCTGCATCAGTATCCGTATCCATTATAGGTGTATAACCAACTCTTGACCAATGCAATCGTTTTCCTGGTACAGTTGATGCTGATTTTGTGATATTGATATTAGTAGCACTACAACTACTACTACAGCATATAGGACAATCATAATCACTGATACTATTTACAGAGACTAGATTTATAGTATTATTAGTATTGTTATCATCATGATCTTTACGTGGACGTTTACTGCCCACAGGTTTAATCGGTGGAATGCTTCTTGGACATTGAACTAATATACACGGATAGTCAGGATTAGCGAATACATAACGTAGCCATTGATTTAATGATTTCCCAGTAGAATTTGAATCAGATGCCTGAGAATTATCATAATGATAAGAGTAATCTTCACGTAGATAATATTGTACAGCAGTACGATATATGAATAACATTAAATCTGGTGTTAAATAAGGCATATCGAAGGGATTAGCTTTAGCCTTTTCACCCAGAGATTTCATTAAAGCCTGTGAGAAGAGAGAAAAAACGAAGAAGTATAAAATAAAAAACATCAACAACTATATGATTTCGAATATTGATGAAAGGATATTTATTAGAGGAAGAATTCTGAGGACTTAGTGAATTACAAAGATAATACAGACTGAAGGCATCTGAGCCATTGAGAATGATTTTGAGCCATAATATCACCAACAATCCCTCCTGTCCCCAATCGTTGGTTCCTAGTGGCTCAAAGATTCCAGTTAAGCAATCTACAAAACTCCATGTGGCTTCAACCAACTATAAAAGACTTCATAGAGTCGTGTGTTTTTGTCATCAAGGTAGGTGACGACTAGGCTGATTTGATAACTGAAGCATTATTTATCAAATCAACTGAGAACATGTACCAATGATACTAGATAGTTGGAGGCAATCCACAGGAAGCCTTGTCTGAGCTAGATTTCGTCCTAGTTGGCACTCATCAGTCAGCAAGGCTTATGTACAACCTTGAAGGAACCCAAGGCCCTTTTGAGATTCGAACCCGCGTCACCCAGTGAGTACTGCAGTCAGAGACGTTACCGCTGAGCCAGCTATTCGGGCTCGCGAATGACCTCCTGTAGGATTGTAGTGGATACTTTGATTGGACACTAGTAACTAGTGTGACGTGTCTAGTCTTTTCTTTGGTGCAGACTGAGCTTGGAGGCAATCGGCAGGAAGCCTTGGACCTAGGTTGCCTTCAAGCATCTAATATCATCAAATCAATGTGCACCGTGATGGTGAGCTACCTAGAATGGTGGCCACATTGCAAACCTGTCTGACAGATTTCAGTCTGCACCAAAGAATGGACTAGACACTTCACACTAGTTACTGGTGTCCAACCAAAAGATGTACCAATGTCAAAACCTGAAAAATTGCTACTAATACGTCAATGAAAAAGAGATAGGAAGAGAACCATAAAAATCCAAGTTTCAAAGTTGTGTAGTTGCACAATGAAGAAAAGTAATTTGTTGGATAGTGACTAGCACTGGAATCCAATATTTGGAAATTATTAGCTAGATGCACCCGCATTCCCCAGTGATTGAGTGATCAAGGTGTTCCCACGGAGACTCGAACCCAGTACCCATCGTCTCAAACGCCAAAGCGTTACCCATTAGACCACTTGGGTTACGAGAGCCACATCTTGTGCAACGGGTATCAGTAATTATTTAATTCAATTGAGACTTTCCTGTTGATTGATTGGACAGAAGTTTTCTGCCTCAAGTTGAAATGTCGGCTCCTTGTGCAGATGGTTTGACTATGTTTGATTATCTCATTTGAAAAGGATGAAATGTGAATCCTGGATTCCACTGTTAGTCACCACCAACCAAATTATTTCAAGTTAGATAATCAGACATCGTCGAAGCATTGGCACATACGGAGACGAAATTTCAACCTGAGGCCGAACACTTCCGTCAAATCAATCAAAAGGAAAGTCCTAAATGAATTAAATAATGAAGAATAGTGCTTGGAACTTTGTCATCCAGTAAGTAACGATATTTTACACACAAATTAATATGGAACTACATAGCATAACTTCTACATAACAGATTGAAAACTTCCATCAACAGCTCCCCACCTATGCTCCATACTGAACATCAGATGACCGCCCAGAAAGAAATAGCAACAGGGAACTCTGAACTGTGACGAACCAATACAGAGCCCAACGCCCAATTAAATAAGGAAATGCAGATGGACTGGTGGAGGAGGAGGAGACTGTTAAGTGGCATCATACACTAGGCGGACGGTCGAGTGCCCCCCGAGTGGGAAACGACGAGTTGAGCGTGGATACCAGAGTGACATGCAAGAGATCATGTGAAGAGGAGACGAAAGGTTATGGTCAGTTGTGGAGGTAGCTAGAACAATAAAAGACTGAAGACATTGATAAAAATGGAAAGGTGCCGTTGACGGCTAATGTTCCATTCAAAACCCAAGGAAATAATAAGAACAATACATATATACCACCAAAGTGCGCCCAAGTTTTACAAATATATATTTCGAGTTTGATCACGGATTTACATCAGTTAGAGAACCATTGAAAACCAGAGCTGGAGTACTGGACAGCTGTTTATCCTAGTTTGGGAATCATCATCAGTACGCACCCACCACCAGAGTTCGAACCCAGGACCTTCCGGTTACAAGCCAAGCTGGCTCGTATACCGTTTAGCCACTGGGACCCAATTCAGTGGTCCTGGGTTCGAACCCCAATCTGCACGTACTGCCAATGATTCCCAGACTAGGATGAAACGGCTGTACAGTACTTCTTGGTTTTCAATGGTTCTCTAACTGATGTCAATCCGTGATCAAACTCGAAAGAATAAATCTGATCCATACAAACCAACTCTTGAAAAAAAATATATTTTAAAAAACCAAAAACAAAGCGAAGCAAAGCAAAGAAACAGCTTACTTCAAATGTTGAACGTTCTGGCCGATCGATAAGACCAATAGCTTTTGTAAATTGACTATCCAGTGGAGTTTTTTGAATATATTCCCCAGGTGACCAAATATAACAAGTTTCTTTCAATAGTTGATATAAACTGGTATTTTGTGATTCCAGTTGAAAGAAAGCTGCTGGTGAATAAACTAACTGACCTGATGTGGTAGGACTTAAAAGTTGAATTGATGCGTTGTCATTGTCTTTGCCACCGTCTGGTTTAGTCTGCTGTTGTTGTTGTTGTTCAACAGGCAACCAAGCCGTTTCGCGTAGTTTACATAACCATGAGGAATAGGATAAATAGTGTAGGGTATCTTTCGTGTTAGGCAGATTTGATGATTTAGTCAGAAAACGATTGGATGCCAAGTCTTCATTAGTTGTTTGACAATATGAATCAATTTGCATACGAGTATAGTAGGCAGAACAAACACTATTTGAAGAGAGAGGCAGAGAGAGAGAGATAACACAAGAAAACGTGTTTAAAATATGAGCAATATGCAGATAGTATTCTTCAAAAAGTCAAAAAATAAAGAACACAAAGCAAAAGAAAACTTTGAGATCTGTTTATATCTTTAACTGCTGTGCCTTAATTTACGCCGACATCTCAATCCTTCCAAATGACCAATTATCCTGTCAAGCTTCCCTCCTATATGTATGTTTTAGTAAAACAAGTTAATGGATGGAAATCAAATGCTCCATCATCCTGGAACTCATTTAGCGAATCCAAAGTAGAAGACATAAATCGATTTAGGTATGCCACCTGTAATATCTAATTCGTTGTCGACCACATGACGGGGTAGCTGCTATAGTTTAACTTCACCAGTGTGTGACACGTTGCTTTATCATAGCAATTTAAACGAACGGCTAGGCCGATACTGTATAAGCTCGAGGAAGTATCTAATGCTGGGATAAGTTGGAATAGATAAAATTTATACGAGATGATATAATATGATTGAAAGCAATAAGATCTAGTTTCAAACGATGGGTGCTGGGTTCGAGTCTCCGTGGGGACACCTTCACCACTCACTCACTAGGGAATACAGGCAAGTCGAGTTGACGAGACGCAAATAGGACGAAATGTAGCACATCCTGGATTCCACTGCTAGTCACCACTCATCAAATTACTTAAAGGTGATCCTCAGACACAGTCGAAGCGTCCATACCAGGAGCATCTAGCGGCCAACAGCCAAACTTGTTCTGTCGTAGCTGATGAAACTACCAAGATGTGTTAGGTTGAATTAAATGAAGCGGGATTTAAGCCCAGAAACTTGGTTGCCAGTACAGTTATCAAAAAATAATACTAATAAATACTACTTATAAAGACAAAACAAGATATAAGTAACTTACTCATCATAAGATGACCAATTATCGTGTAGTAAACAGCTCAGGCGGTCTGCCATACCTTTACCAATCATTTTATCCTGTAATCTAGCAATACAATGCAGGAGTAATTCTAGGCCAGGAGAAACATAATCTTCAATTAACCAACAGGCTGTACTTTTAGTGTTGTTATTGTTATTGGTGTTTTTCAATGAATCATTGATTACAGATGGTGTCAGGCCTTCTTTGTTTAATGCTTCAATGATGACATTTTGTAAACGATGATTTTTAGGCAGATGGATTGTATCTTTTGGTAAATTGGAGGATTTAGCATCATTGTTTGTAGTAGCAATAGTAGTAATATTAGTGGCAGATGGCTGGTAAACATATTTAACTTTATGCACTGATAACAGTGTGCATACACCTAGAAAAAAATGAGACGTGAAAACAGAAAGATTATTACTGTTAGGTAGGCAGGAGATATTCTGATTAGACAATAGGCAGAAAGAAATGTGACTCATTTAGTCGTTGGTGTTGGTGTATACTACTGAATTCTATCAGCAGCTATAGTCTGCAATGAGGCTACCATACTAGGTGGCTCGCCAGCACAGTGTACTCTGGATTGTTGTAAGATGGTTGGAAGCTACTGGCAGGAGGCTTTCAACCCACGTTCCGTGCTTGCTGCCACTCGTCACTTAGTTTGGTGAACCCATTACAGACATGTCTGATAGAATTCAGTCTGCACCAATCCAATGACATTAGTTGTTACCAAGTGTCCAGTCAAACTACCCATTACAGTCCTGCAAAGGGTTAATTGCGAGCCCACTTCTGACTGTAGCACTGGGCCACTCGAATTCAGATCTCAGAGTGGACACGAGTTCCCTCAAAATTGTTGACACGCCTTGCTGACTGACAAGTGCCAACAAGCATGAAACGTAGGACCACGGCTTCATACCGATTGTTTCCAATCATCTAACAAGAAGATATATCACAAGCTAGTGTTTCCCAAGAGATCCATGCAGCAGATATTTGACCCTAAGGGATATTAAAGGTCACGTCGTTGGATTTAAAAGTGCACCGGCATTTAATAGTCGAATGTTTGTCGACTACGCACACGTAATCCAGGCCCGATTCCCAGCCGACGTACTCCTAGACCAATCTTAACCATTAGTAAACTCGGTTAAGAGGGTAGTTTTGGCATAAGGCTGGCAACCCCACTTCATAATAAACACCACCAATACTGAAACTTCAAAGCTCAAGTTTGAAGTCCTACATTCCAGTAGGAACGCAAAGAAATGGAGACTATGGTGAAAACATTATATTTTACTTCTTGAAGTGGTAATACTGATGAGATTTACATCGTTGAAGAAGAAGTTCACTGTAATCTAGGTAATCCTTAAAAATTAATTTGACACAAGTGATGTCCAACTACTAATATTCCTTTTCAGTAGCGAAATTTCGAAAGGAAGAAAAGTGTAGGCAACATCAACATGAATCAAGAATAATTCACTTCTATATAGATATTAATCAGTACATAACTGTGAAAACAACACAGAGTGAATACCTATGTACTTTTTGAACAATTCCAGTCACTTTGGAGGATGGTAACTAGCAGTAGAATACAAGATATGACATTTCGTCCTAGCTGGGACTCATCAACTGGATGCACCTGCATTCCCCAATAAGTGATCAAGGTGTTCCCACCGAGGCTAGAACCAAGCACCCTTCGTTTCAAACACCACAGCGTTATCTACTGGACCACTTGGGCCATGAGAGCAGGTGTAACCATCAGACGAGTCCCAAATATAACAAAGTATGGCGAATCCCGGATTCCACAGTTAGTCATCATCTATCAAATTACTTCGCACATCGCTGAAGCGTCCGCACTAGGAACCGACATGTCAACAGAGGCCGGATATTTCATTATGATCAATCAACGGGGAAATCAGAAAATTGAATTAAAAATTCTGATCAATCCACACAAAGTCTAGAATCATTGATTTCAAGTATCTTGGGGATAACACACGCGCTTAAACTGATCTTAAACCTACCTATATGTCTGATATGAATAGCCATAACATCACAGACATGTACTATTTATTGGTTTAATGATATTTCACAGTTTCTCAACCTATTTCAGTTAACATCGTCATTTAATTTCTCTTTGTCATGGCAACTCGATATGTGAATTCTTCCTCTTATTTCAAGACATAACCTTCGGCTTTAACCATTTCCCCCCTTCGCTACAATCTAATTTGCTTTGTTTCTATGATTTCAGTTAGTTTCATCCTACATATGTGTAATTTCTGAGCAGTGTTTATTAATTTTGGACTCTTCTATAAACTGACATTAAGTCATGCCCTATTGATACTACTTAGTTTCACCGACTAAAACAGGTGGCAAGGGAATCGAACCCAAGATCCACTGGGTCAAGTGCTTTCACCAACTACGTACACATCTGAGATACAACAGGGGGGGTTCCGGAAATCAATGAAGATTGACAACCTTGTCAATCAACTTACATTCCTAACATTCTACACTTATAGACCTATAGTGAATTACCTTGTGGTTCCATTTCACATGTTACTCTATGCAAAACTGAATCATTGATCTCAGTAGTTCGTATCAAATCAGGCCAACCAGTAGTGATTTCCAGTAAACCACTCAGTCAGCCAGTTCGAAGTGATTGATCATTTGAGATCAAGCTCACCAGCTGGAACTGTGTGTGTGTGTGTGACTAACCTGATTCCATTCCACGAGATCAATAATTCAAAGAGTTCGAAAATTATAATTCATATAAATACAGACTTGCAGACTTTTACCAACAGCTGCCAACTTCGCTGGCTCCACACTGAAGATCAAATGGCCGGTTGACCAGAAAGAATTAGCAACAAGAAACTCTGACTGGGAACAAACCAACCGAGCAAGAGCCGATTGCTCAACAAATATGTAGGAGAAAATGGAGATGTATTGGGCACACGTTGAGGAGGCCGTCGAATGACATCGTGCACAATACAGGCCATCATGTGATTGGAATCCAAATGGGAAGCGACGAGTGGGTCGTTAGTGTGAGGGTGACATGGAGAGCATCGTGTGAGGAAGAGATGAGAGAGTTTGGGTAATCGTAGACCCGGATGAAGACGATGGCATGAAGTAGAACAAAGTGGAGATGTGTTGTTGAACCCAAGGGAATAATAATACATACATATATACATGCATACACACACTAAATGAAGAATAATGATGTAATACACTACTTACCAGCCCCAGAGAATAAATTAAACCATCGACAACCCTGTCGAAGATCATGACTTGAAAAACCATGATGAAAATACTTCGATGATACAGTGTACACAGAACTACAACAAGAAGAATCAGTGATTGTATTCATTTGATCCATTAAAAATTTGAATAAATCAACTTCTAATTCTTCGATAAAGTTTTTCTGATTTTGTCCAGAAGCAGAAGAACTGGTTACCATAGATGATGATGATGTGGCGATTGTAAATGATGCTGGAGGTAAGAATACTGGTTCAACACGTCTATATCCACTTTCATTACATAATGCTGGAAGTAGGCAATCTTTACCATGATTATCTGATACAATGATTGGCAGTAGAGTACTGAATTCATAGTTATGTAATGATTTATTTCCAGTGTTCAATGCATTGTTGAAATTAATATCAATTGTAGCATAGAATTGACCAATGGTTAGACACCAATTGATAATACTCTCTGAATTCTGGTTAATGAATCCGACTTGATTTAATTTTTTTAAATAAGGCATAATCCATTCTTTTAAGACAATAGAAGGTGTAGCTATTTGTAAGCCTAGTCCCATAGGAGATTCATTGGTCAACAGGGAAGAGAATTCTTTTGGCATGTTATATTGACTTTTAGCATTATTGTCAACTTGAAGCGAACTGTGAAAGGCGATTGGTTTAATCAACGGTCCTAGTTTCTCCAACATACTTATATATTCATCTATGATAGATATATTTTGTTTAAAAGAACATAAAAACAAAAACGGCGGGAAAGATAATTCAAAAAGTCCTCATCATTTTCATAATATTTTTAAAAGTAATACAAAATAAATATCCAATAGAGTAATTATAATCAGAAGATCCCTCTCCATGAACAATCTACGTACAATATTCATTACTTACTTGACTATTTTAAATAATTTTTTCTTATCCGTCCCTCTTTTCCCCTCACGTCTTCAGGCGTTTGTAGATCTCCCTATAGCTTCATCCTTTTTATGTATCATTGTTTTTGCCTGATGCCCATTCTTAATACTTTCACCAGATCAAGGTTAAGCCATGGAGTGACCGCTCGACCTTGAACTTCATCTGATTCGGTTCCTGCAGATCCTACTTTGTTGAGAATAAACCAAATTCGCCATTTGCAATTTACACAATCACAGGAGCCGAAATTTCATCACAATTTCCTAAGGAGATCAAAATTACTCAGATCACAAAATCTGTGTTCTGTTTGATACTATAAATGGAAGTAAGCACAAATGCATAAAACTATATATATACTACTAATTGACTGAAATGAGTAGTTGTACGCCACTCACATCAACCAGTAGTGCTTGCTAACCAGTTAGATAGGAGTGACCTAAACACCCAGCGGCCATCTTGCTCATTTGGAGCCGAGCTCCTCAGCGGTGTACTGTAACAACAGAAGACAGGGGCTAGGCAACAGATCCTTTATTAAGGAAAATCAACACATATTTATAGATTTTAATGTACATTATTGTTAGTAGAAAATACAGTCTTTTGATTGGTTGTTTCTCACAGAAAGTTAACCTTGCATCTCTTCGTGGCTGTGTCAGATCATCCATATGCTAACTGTATCCGCCTACGCAAAGCCTTTGTTCTCATTTTCTCACCCCCAATATTGGGGACATAAACATTGACGTCAATTACTGTCTACCAACTTTGGCTAGCAGCCAGTTCTCACCACAGTACTACCACCTGGTTCGACTAAGCGCTCTGAGAGCCCAATCATGAATTGAAAACCACCCGACTTGAGAATATTCTTACTGATCAGCAGGCAAATTAATAATTGTGTTTGGTTAATTGAATATGGTATGTAGTGCTTATTTTATGTCTGAGAAACTTTTGGAGTGTATAGCTGTCGAAGGGTATTGTTGAGATAGTTTGGTATTCTTGATATAAGATACCATTCTTATCGAGTAGTACCACAGATTTAATCACATCAAAATGTGTTTTCGATACAGTGTATCACTTTGGAAAGTTTGGCCAGCTATACAGTACAACGCATAGATCGCTTTCATACGTTCGAATCGAAATTCGACAATGTGTTGGGGAAGAAATAATCATGTGGATAATAATGAAGATTTCATGAATGTTGGAGATATCAGAGATGGATTTTAAACCGTATTGCCAACAGTCTGAGTCGGTGAGACATCGGTAGAATGCTCTCCGACCACGCTGGTGCTTCCGGGTCCAAATCCCCAGCCGAGGCACTCCTTTACCTCGTTAAGCCAGTAATAAGACTGGTAAAGAGGGAAGGTTGGGCATGAGGCTAGCCCGAAACTTGAAAGCTCTAGCTTGAAGCCCTATGTTCAAATGGGAACATAAAGGAATAAAAAAAACCAACAGTCTACAGTCATTCGTTCTCAGTGTCCCGAAGACCCTAACCAGGCAGTCAACACCATCCTATGTGGTTTAAACCAATAGTCTACGACTTTATGGGCTGATGACAGACTTTAACTTGACCACTCCTATTAATTCCCCTCCAAACCGATTTCTGAGTCAGTTATAGAGTTGCTAAGAGAGAAAGGTGATAGCTCAGCATGTAGTTTCACAGCCTCATTGATTGATTTGCCCATCTCACTCAACATCCCATTTCTAACCTCAGTATTACTCACCCGAGTGACAGAACACAAACATCTATGATCCAAGATGCCTAACCCCTTAATATCTTATCTAACAATTTCAACAGCCATATCTCATAGTCGTAATTACGGACGCAGAGAATCGCTGCACAGTGAGTACACCTTTCATGACACAGGTATGAACCAATATGTTAGATGAATAAAACCACAAACACTGTGATATTGTCTCTTGATTGTCAATATGCCTATAATTATCATACATACAGAGAATTCTTTGGTGGTGAGAAAAACAAGCTTGAAAAGTTCTTCAAGAACAGAATAAAAAAATTGAAAAATCAACCAGATAAATAATCGTGTAATCACTATGAAGGCGCATTCAACATCATTGATGATTATTCTACATAGTAGAAACAGGAGAATTATTGATGACTAATTTGTACTTTCTGGGTTCTAGAGTTAATCAGCTAAACACATGCAGGATATTAATTGCATTGTAGTATGTAAATATGTTTACAATTTGATTATAGCAGAGACAAAATAGACATTAATACGAATACAAAGAACCGCATAGGTCGAATCTACAACAGTTTGTTGCATTCGTCATTGTTCTAACATCTGTAAAAACCTGATCAGTCCTAGTTGAGGATGTTCGCCAGCACCACTGTCTTAAATAGAACTGCTTCCATCCGATACTACAACTGTGTAGGCTATTTGGAGATCGGACGATAGACGTTTGAAAAGGATAAAGGTAGTCTTTCAGATAAGTGCCACAAATTCCAACCCAAAGGCTTCTATACTGTTCACCATTGACGATCCACAAGATCGAATGTAAGGTGAAAACGCGGCTAGTGCACGGCACCAAGGAATGAAGGATAGCTGTGTTCGATTTGCATTCATTGGTTTAATACGACTCCCTCCATGAATCGTTCAAGAGATCATGCAACTCAGTAGTTCAAGAGGTGGCCGAGCATTGGTCATCTTACCACCAACCATTTCAAAAGTAATAAACGTTCGTTAGCAATAGTAAAATACATACACATTACGCAAGAACACGCTTGAGTAGGATAAGGTAGACTACAATAAATCATTCACCTACCATATGTAATTCCAATTAATACAGAATTAAGCTCAGATGGATGAGGTGGTAACAAGACAGCCGGATGAATATCAGCCCATGAATGCGCTTGCTTATCGTTTAATCGAATACACTGTTCATTAGTTAAAGGAAATATAGGCAAGTGTTGTAGGGCTGTCAGTAGACGACGTCTAGCTACCATAGCTGATGGCTTCGATAATGCTCCTGACGATGATGATGATGATGATGATGTGGACGTATTATGAGCAGACAGACATGCCTCAAAACTTGATATGAGTACTGATAACAGACCGGGACGATTAACATCCTCTGTAAGAGTGAAATAATAATAGTAATCATAATAGAATCAATATGACTAGTATATAATTACAATTCATCCGTAACCACATAATAATTTTTATCTTCGACATATGCTGAATTCACGTCTAAATACTAAAAACAAAAATCTACTAAACCACTATTTACGTGTACAATATAAAACACAAATTCAGATATGAGACTCGATCAATGAAAATATATATTTAGCTATTTTTAGGCGATCAGTGTTTTTCTCTATCTAAGTGTAAGATTGGAATGATCCTTATTCAGTGCACTCACTCATGAAGGTGAACTGTTCGTTATGTAACTGCTGGAGGAGGCATGATCGATGGAATATCTGAACTTATACTGAAAACCACTGCGGCATACACTAACCTGGGTCACACCTCTCGCTCCGTCGCGACGTTAGTCTGGATGTCAAAGGTGGGGTTTACAATGCTCCAGTGTGCGCAGACTCTCTGAGCTGAGAATGCAAGGCGACTCAGAGTTTTTTTATCTATCGTTACCACACTCGATGGCATCATCATACAAGTAATTCTGATGTCCGGCAGTGTCTGTTTGGACATGGTGTTTCAATAAGTGATGTGATCTTGAGATCTAAGCTTTGGTTGACTGGATATGTATTACGAATGTTATTTCAGCGGCTTCCACACCGTTCAATATTTTGCTAGTCTTGGGACTGGTGTAGGAAAACGGAGAGTTGATTAGTCTGTAACGTGGTTCTCATGGGATGGAACATAACTGTGTACAGTTGGCATTTGTTTGACTCTCTAGATGGATTCATAATCACCACTTACAATGCTGTGATTTCTTCCTTCCCTCTCTTTCTGGAAGTAACATGAATTGATAAATTCTTCCAAAATGCTCTTGATAAGTACAGACAATAATTCCTTCCCGAAAACAAATCACCATGTGTTGACACTCTTCAGTAAGGCGTGCCTGAAACCTAAAAGGGAGTTTGATATTTACTTGGTAATTCAAATCCCGTCAATTTTTAATTTTCCTTCAAACGATTCTATCCTTCTTCTTATCTACTTTATTTTTCACAACCACACTCTCCAAAATGTCAAACTAGTCCTTAATAACTCTATAAATGATGTCGCGGTTTGTGACAAAATCTGTATTAAAATTGATCCCTAAATAAAAATAATCTCCAGCGCATTGGTACCTGTACTGAAAGGAGATCCTGATGTTTTATAATATTGAGACCTCATGGCCAGTGGGGTTAACCATGTCACCAAAGTGAGAGGGCGAAAGCGGATGCCCGGCGCTCTTCACCGGGTTGACTGTCCATTGGATGACAGTCTAGGGGAGATGGATAAACCCTGATTCCAAACCTCCAACGACTGGCGTATGAAGCTCACTGGAGCTCACCGGCAGACGTATGGACAAGGGCTTGTTGGATCTCCTGGATGTCTGGCCCCATTGAAAAAGGCGTATGAACCGAACTCCGGTCACCGGCTGCCAATGGATAGTGGACTCCCTACTCCACTCCTACTGCCTTGTAGGTCACACTTGGTTGTGTAAAGGCTAGAGCTGCACTCTCAAACAAAAGGCCGAGCGATTCTGGGGACATCACTCGTACCAAATTCCCATGAAACTTCATGAACTCTCTTACATGGCTTGGTACAGTCAAGGCTGATATGGAGTGCCTGGGGCTACAAACCGTCTACGAACTCCGTCTGTGGAACTAGAATTGGATAACCCTGTCGCAAAACCTTGCATCAGATCGCCACGCCTGGGCAGCGATGATTCGAGATGTTCATGAAGCCGGCTCATCCTCCCGTAGGAGATAGCCGAAGTAAAGTAAAGTAAAGTAAGTTAACCATGTCAAGATAAGAGAAGTGGACGCTTATCGATGGCATTAGTTTGCTGTAGCAATATACCAAGAATTGAAATAAGCTGAAATTCTTAGGTCATTGAATTTCGGTCCAAGTTTCTGCATATTCAATGTGCTGATCTCGTAAAATACAGGTCTCGGCATCGATCCCTGATAGAATATAATGGGTAGGGACACACCGATGAAGAGTCACAAACTAGAACGAAACAGCTGTACAGTGCTCTATAGTTACCAATGTTTACCTAACTAATATATCAATCAGTTCATGATGAAATTTACATGGAGATTCATGTTCGGAATAGGAGAATAGAGTAAGAAACACATACCGGGTTTTAAAATTGTAGCTAAATCCAATAGTGAAGTAATTGAAAGTGACTGGGTACCAAGCCAATTTAATGATTCCACTCGGATTCGATTGATTAGATGATAATTCGACTGCCATTTATCATCCATACTATTGTCAACATCACTGTCATCATCTTCATTATCATTGTCATGAACAACAACGATATCATCGCCAACGGTGTTAATGTCGTCATTATCAACCGTGGTAGTTGACGTCTTATTGCGTTTATACACTTTTCTATGCATAAATAAGTCTTCATGAGGTTCAAACATCTGTAGACAGTTCACAAGAAGGCGGATAAGTAGTATATCCGGATTGCATGAAGAATTTACCTGTAAATTAAATAGAAACAGCCATAATAATAACAAGAATAATAAACCACAAATATATGCTAATTTAGGGGTAATTTTTTCATTCCTTGACGTTTCGAGTGGAACATAAAGCTTCTAGTCTTCAGTCTAAAATTTTCAATGGCGGTGGTGCTTTTTTATATGATGCGGTTTCTAGCCACCTCACGTCCAACTTTCCTTCTTTACCAGGCTTATTACTCTGCTAAGCGAGATTTAAGAGTGGTGCTTCGGTAAGGAATCGAACCCACACTTTCCGCCTGGTTGATGACCATCCTGCAATTCAACCACCAACATACCATCTAAGTAACTAACCGCCTTAACGATTAGTTAGTTAAGGCTTCCTAAAATGGAAAGCGGCGAGTTTGGCATGGGTCTGACAATGACACTGGAGGATATCCATGTGAAGATATAATCAAAAGGTTGTGGTCAGTCAGTCAGTCACAGAGCTGACAGAAAAAAAATGAGACAAAGGATAGAATACAATAAAGATGTTCTGCTGAAGCTATACTTTGCAATTGGAGCCCGATAAACGAATAATACAATACTGCATAAATATGCAACGTGAGGTGACCCAGATTTTTAATTTCACCTTCAGACACCACCCACTACATAAATTACATAGAAGATAGAATTATGTTAGGAGGAAGAGAATCTACACATTTTGTATGAGACTGCATGATACATACAAAGTGGTAACTGTGGCTGATTTACGCGGAGAATGAATTCAAGCCATCGTCCCTACCCCCTCCTAACCTATTTTAGCCAACAGTGAAGAGTTCAAGTCAATTTGCCACAAGAAAAGTTCACTGAACACAGTTTACTGTAATGACATAGATGGCACTTCTAAAAACCAATTTGTTTTACCTATAATATCAAACCATAGATATAAGAATCAACCGCTTCATTCAACCGACCACGAAAAATGTTGTCAGGAGATACAATCATATCATTCACGGAGAATTCACTTCATACTGAAGTCTGTGCTGAAGATATTGTCTACAAGGACAATGAAAGCCTTGAAATGAAACCATCTAGCACAGAGAATATGACCACATAAAAATCATCCACCTGATCTACAAATCTCCCCACCCACCCCCGTTATTATTTCAAAATTGACATTCATAAGTCTTTTAAAACTATATATTAAACATATTTTCGGGTGTATCCTAAAGTTTGTGGAAGATCTAGTGATTAGGAAGTTTTCAATCACCTTTATATGCGCTCAAAAACAATTTGTGCTCTCACATTAAACCTTCCTTGGTAAATGATTTTGTTTTAATACAAGGATAGGTCTACTATTATCTCCCCGCTTTTGGTTTATTGATCTCCACTGACCTGTGTCTTTTCTCCCACTCCTTAACGCTTCATTATTTTCACACATGTTCCCCATGAAAAGTACAGAGGTGATCAGACTGTCCAAAATCTGTTGAACAAATACATTTAACAATTAAGGCAAATTATGTCATCTTGAAGTTCATAAAGGGAACTTTACTTATCACGATTTCCCGACTCTCCTAGGTGAACCTGAATTTCCACTAGTACGGTTGTAAGCGCCAGACGTCTGTATTCGTCTTTCCACCTTTGTGGGGAACAGCCGTGCTGCGTGAAGGCAATGCATAGGACCTATCTGGCACACACACACTATGAGCGCATGGCCACGTGGAAGTATTACGAGAGGAAGGCCAGATTATATGCATCCTCTTGGGTGGGTGGGGGGGTAATAAAGTGAAACGAATTGTTTCAAAATCATTATTAGGTCCCTATAATACATAAAACAAGGAATAAAGCTTCATAATTACTTACAGCCTCAATATTTCCTTTAGGCTGTTTATTCTCCTTATCCAATCGTGAGTAGGATGATGATGACGATGAAGTCGCAGGCAAAACTAACAGGCGAGATGCAGTGACATATTCAAGTTTCTCATTGTCTGCAACCGATTGATCAGTTCGTCGAATACCTGGTAACCAAGGAATAGTTGATAATTTACAGCGTAATTGACTCGGTAAACCAAAGAAGACATTATCGTTTGTTATTGTTGATGTTGCCGCTGTTGTTGTAGAACGACTACTAGCACCAGTTGTCAACGTCAGTGTCGAAGATGAAGACGATAATAAATCATACGGTAGACATGAGATGATACGGGCAATTAACTCAATACGTGTGTATCCTAACTGAGAATTGGATTCAGGCGATTCGGATTGCTGGTTGTCGCTAACATTCTGCTTGAAACATGATGGTGGTAACTAAATGATGGAGAAAGAGGAAAAAAGAGCAGAGTTAGAGAAAAATTTAAACAAAACAATAGGGATTACAGTATTTTAAACCCTTAACATCATCCTTCCCGACTTCTCCTTTACTGGTTATGAGTAGACCCAGTAGATACTGATGTAGTATATAAAACTCCCAGAATCTGTAACACACTTTGATAAGTTTCATATGACCAGTGTTAATTCCTTTCCTACCTGTTCATTCTCAATCTTTCCTTTGTTCAACATCATACTACTTGCCATTAGTAAGTAGTATGCTTTTTATATGTTAATTTATAACAATGACATTTGCTTACAACTGCAGTTAAATTACTTGTTCTATTTATTATCATTCTATTAATGTATAGTTCTTATTTTTCTTCTCCTTAAACATTATTTGCTGACCTTACCCTATAGTGTATGCTTTACTATTGAAAGTTGTTTGTTCATATTTGTTTATTCTTTGCTTGGCATTCGCGGGCCATTTGAACCGACACGTGGATCGACCTTGACACAGCATTGCTGTTTTTACTTATTGACTGCACAGTGGTTGTGCATTTGACGGCATTTAGCCACAGACACCTCACATTTTGAGGTTTGTACATTACATATCTATTTTTATGTAATAAAGTACCGTATTACAGAATATCCTGTATTTCGGACTTTACGCGTCACTCTACGTGTGGTTAAATCTATAGTTTGGATTATCGTTTCGGATTTCTTTCGGGAGAAATTCACAACCAGCATCATATTTCTACCTGCACCGAGTGGAAATCAACTACCAAGACGTAGGTGGACGAAAATTTGTCAACCCTTCTCATAAGTTTGCATCCAGTACAACTACTTTTCGCATAACTGGTTGACAATACAACTTCAATATGCTATGATTGGTTGACTGACGTGAGTAATTGGACCCTATTCACACCAACCAGTAGTGCTTCCCAACCGGGTAGAAGTGATCTAAACACCAGACGGTTGTTTCACTCATCTGAAGCTGAGCTAATCAGCGGTAATGTTAATAATGTTTGGTAGTTGGAGTAAAGCCCTACAAGGGATCGTGTTTGCTGTTACTCACGCCATTAAGGTGTGCCTGTAACCTCGAAAGAAGTGATGTCCGCCTTGAGATTCAAATCACCATTACCCAGTACTTCAGTTAAAGACATTATCACTGAAAATGCGACCCATACCGCGCGTGAAACGACCGTTCAGTGTTTAGATAACTCAGATCTGACTAGTACAGACTACTGGTTGATGGGAGTATTGTCTAACTACTCATGTCAATCCATCAGTAGTATATATCGTCATACATGCATGCTTGCTCTATTGATTAGCATTAATCGTAACAAGCAGGTCAAATTATGTGACCAGATAGGTCCTATGAATTTCCTTTTTCACGGGGCAGGGGTGTTCCTCACAAAAGTGGATGGACGAATACAAACACACCTGGAGCTTACAAACGGGGACTGATGGACAGACAGGCCTACCCTAGGGGAGTCGGGAAACCATGATTTCAAACTTGTAGTGTGCATGGACTCATCCGAAAGGATGAAATAGTGTATGATGTATAATATGCCATATACACATTGAAATAAGTAGGAAATAAGGAGGAAGAAGAATATACAAGCTTACCTTTTCAATACACTGAATCATATCAGAGAATACATTGGGTATTTTACCAACAAGCCAACGATTCCAAGCACTGGTGGAATCCACATCTTCACGTGATGATGTTAAATCGAAATCAGCTTCAGATAAATAAGAAAAAGAGAAAAACAAACGATTAATTTAGACAGTAAAGATACAATACAACAAGGTGACAATGTTTATTATTATGTCAATAACAAGGTCTTTAGTTTAGAGTCAGATTCATTTTGCTGTAATGGATAGCGATTTCACTAGTTAGTTAGTTAGTTAATTTCGTTTTTGACATCGCAGATCAATATCTCTTTCTAATCTGAGTTACAGAAGTCTGTGTTTCACTGAGTTTCCAACACAGAGCTTTGCAAAGAAATGCAACACTTTAAGTTGCCACACTCCATGCGTAGCATAAACAGGTAGCAAAAAGGGAGACCAAAAACTATATCACCGATAGTTTCCAGACATTGGTTCTTAGGATTTCAAGGACCTTAATTAATCAGTGTACACACTTTCCTACATGGCTAAGTCAAAACCACAACTGTCAAAAACTTTATGGACTGATTCTTGATTTTAATGGGACCACTTTTCCACTGACATTTCCAAGCAGTTGGTGATGAGCCACAACTAATGTGCATTTGTGTGTATGTTTGATGGCTAAAGATACCTACTACATGGTTGTATGATCGGATATCGAACACCTAGATTAGTAAGCCACAGTTTTAATGACGTACACACTAGGGGCGATGGTCGTATTCAGGATCGTTATGATACATATCGTGATTCATCCAGTCAATTTGAACAAGTTTATACAGGTTGATCTGGTGTAGAGTTAAAACATTTAAAAGAAAGGCGAAACTATATAAACCACCAGCTTGGCGAGTCACGAAAAGCATTTCAAACAGCCAACAGCAGACTTTTATTAACAGTTGCCAACTACGCTGGTTACATGTCGAAGAACAAATGGCCTTCCAGAAAGAATTATCAACAAGAAACTCTGGGAACGCATCAACCAAGAACCCATTGCTCAACAGATATCTCGAAGAAAATGGAGATGGATTGAACACACACACACTGAGGAGACCATCGGATGACATCAATCGCCAGGCATTCGAGTGAAGTCCGAATCGGAAACGCCGAGTGGGTCGTCAGTGCGATGGTGACATGGATGAGATGAGGGACTATGGGCAATCGTCGGACCAGCTAAGGAGGATTTCAGAAAACTGGAGGAATTGGAGATGTGCTCTTGAAGCCCCATGTTCTAATCGCAATCGAAGGGAACAATAATAGTAACAATTGTTATTTTCATATAAATCAAAGTTATCCTGCTCCTTCCTGTGGGGATGAACAGATTGGCCGTGTCATGCGTCCGCTTGTAAAACGCACTCAGGAACACCATCCAGTCTGGGAGACTGTGTGCTTATAGCTCAGTAAAAGAACATTTCTAGTGAACTCAGAACATTCAGATCCATTTGAAAAATCCTTCAAAACCACAGAATATTCAATCAAAACTCACAAAAAGGTGTGAGATCAAGACATATGGACATAGCTGAGGCATTTAACGGTTCGAAAATTCAGGCTGACGCTATAATATCCATAGGAAGTGCATTCAACCTTCGCTTTTAGCATGACCATTATGAACACTTTATTTTCTCAATAATTATTATCTAACTATGTCTTTTTCATCCAAAACTCTTGTCCATTTTTGTTGTTATCATTATGACTTTTAATCTATGTCTCTGTTAGATAATTTTAATCTTATTATTCGTTACAATTCAACCTTCAGACCGCGAAATAGTTCTCTAACTTTCTCACCCCTTTGACATACATATATTCACGAATGTACAGATTTTAGTTGATGACTTCATCCCTCGTGAAGTCATCGGTGCGTACTGATGAAGAGTAACATGTAGGAACTCCATGGAGACTTAACACGGATCCTCTAATTCACAATCGTAAAATCGTTACATAGTATAATAAACTCTTAAAAAGAAAAAACGGTCCATCGTGCAGAACATACAATCATTTTTGACTAATGTGAGACTCACGATTTCACTAGTGAAACACTAAAAGCCACATTTTAACGTCAAACAGTCAAAACAACGAGGATATATTTAAGTGTGAGAAATCAAAACTTACCATTAATATAGAATCGAAATCCAACACTGCGTACTGGTAAGTAGGAGAAAATTGGACAAGTTGGCAATGGTTCTGAATCACTCAGGGATATAGCTACTGAAATTTCTGTCTGTGATGGAAGATTCTGACAAGCAAAATGAAAGAATATGAACATTATTCTTAATATGGGGTACTGTAATAGTATTCTGCAATTTCACAACAATGTGTTTCTTTCCTCCATCATGTTACATTAGATTTTAGGACTGTCATTTTAACCCATCCTATTGTATGATTGTGTGTAGTTGCATGTAATCCTATAGCTGAACTATTCTCCAGATTTCCTATCTTATTAGGGTCAACTAATCCAGATTTCGTCAGGGCTTTGATGCTGCGCTAATCTATTTCTATCTTATTTCGACTATAAATAATAACACAGACCTTATTATGATTCCCTTGGGTTCTCAGTGGAACATAGAGCTTCAACAACACATCTCCACTTGGTGCTTTCCTCTTCAGCTAGCTAGCCCCACGATTGACCATAATCTCCCATCTCCTCCTCCCCACACGATCTCCTACATGTCACCCTCGCACTGACGATCCACTCGTCACTTCCCATTGCGACTCCACTCGAGTGGTTGACTGCATTGCGTGCGGTGTCATTTGATAGCCTCCTTAACGTATTCCTCATCCATCTCCATCTTCTCCAACATAGTCGCTGAGCAGTCGACCCTTGGTTGGTTTGTTCCCAGTCAGAGTTTCCTGTTGCTAGTTCTTTCTGATCAACCAGCCATTTGAGTTTCAGTGTGGAGCCAGCGAAGTTGGCAGATGTCGATAAAAGTCTATGGTGGCTTGTTGGGAATCCTTTTCGTGACACGCCAGCCAAGTTTCTGACTCGTATAGAAGCATTAACTGACTGACTTCACATTTGTGTTAAAAATCCGAATCTCATTGTTTATGCTGGGTGAGTGTTTGCAGAACACTTCCAAACTGGTTTCAGGTTGATGAGGGCGTATCTTGCCTTTCCGAATCTGGCTAGTAGGCTGGCTTTGACATCTTCATCCATTCCATCTGTCTCTCGTTGAAACCGTGCTTCTTGGCTGGATAAGTGAAGGAAGGATGTAACCTCTGTCAAATCTCTCCCTTTGATGGTGATTGGTGCTGGTTGTTGTTGCTGTTAGTGGTGGTGGTGGTGGTGGTTATCTTCATCACCTCCGTCTCCTCTATGTTCAACTGGAGTCCTGTCTTTGCTGTTTGCCTCTTCAGTCAGTTTATTGGTTTTCGCCTGCAAGTCCTCCAGTTTGTGTGACATTAAAAATAAATCATCCACAAGCGTAACCCAGATCTTCTAGAGTCTTCTTATAAGTCCAACGTATTCCTGCCTTCTCATTCCCGACACACGGTGTGCCGCATAATCCAGTGCGCAACAATTAAGAATAGCATCGGTCTTGACTCACTCCTGTATGCACTTCGAATTCCTCGCTGAGCTTTCCGATGTGGACCATCTGACACATGGCATTGTCATAGAGACAACTGTTGAATGAGGTGGATAAAGATTTGAGGTACTCCATAATGTTTGATCAACGCTGTCTCGTGAAGGCATATACGAAGTCGATGAAATTTATGTACAGCTTTGATTGCCACTTTATGCTTTGTTCGATGATGACACTTAAAGCTGCAATACGATCAGTACATGATTTGCCTTTCCTAAATCCAACTATTTCCGGCGGTTGGAGTTCCGCATCAAGTGCATCTTTTACTCTCTCTCCAGGATGACGCGAATTATTTCACGACAGTTTTTGCAGAGGCATTGCCTAGTTTATTAGTTCGCTAGTTTTCTAGCCGATCCCAAGCCCAGGTAAAGAGGGAGGGTCGGGCGTGGTGCCAGTAACCCTACCCCAAAAAATCCAATCAAACGGCTACAGAAACTTCAATGCACAATAAAAACACAGATATTATACATAAAATATTACAAATACAACTATAAACTCACCTTTCTCATATCTTTGATATCAACAGGAATTAATTGCCTGAAAGCAAACCATTTATGCAGTAGCACTTTACTATTAGTAGTAGTAGTAGTAGCAGTATTATCAACACTCGATGATGTATTACGTTGAGTCTCTTCAACTGTAATCACTTCAGCAAAGCACTTTATTTTGCCTGACATAAATGTAGACAGTGTGCTTGTAGTCCGTTTTAAACTCCAGTATATATTTGGCTTGAATGATGGTCAGGGAATAATGAGAAGGAAATAAGCAGGTAAAAACAGAACATCAGATGAAAAATTAGCAAACAACACATTTAACGACAAGCAAAAACTATTCCCTTATTATCATGAGCTAATTAGCATAATTAACTATGGAGCTATACTTCATATCGTTTAGAGAGCTACATACTGGAGATTTTGATCTTAATAATCTTGGCTGATATTCTTTCGCGAATCGAATTATATAAATGACTGTCTTGAAAATATATGATACTTCTGGATGCATTGTCGTTAACTCGTACCCTTCATTGGGAAAGAGAGAGAGAGAGAAGAGTTCATTTCATGCCCAAAGGAAAAGCTGAAAGTTAGTCAGATCAAAAGTGACACCGGCGAACGCAATATCAAAGCGAGACAGTGAAACAAAGTAAGTAACATTATATTCACGAGGAAATCGTTGAATGAATAATAATAAATAATAATAAACATGATATCTGGTTATTTATAGCTCAGGTTAGAGAACAATTAAGGTTACCTTCAGACTAAGGACAGGTTCAGATCAGGTTAATTCAGGAAGAATTCTGGGTTGGTTAGGGATAGAATAGAATCTGGTTAAGTATGGATCAGGGCTGTGTCGAGTATGGGATAAAGAAAGATTACGGGTAAGTCTTAGCGCAAGTGCTCGTTCTAAGACCACTGGTGAGTCCACACCTACTGAGTATTTAAAGACTAACTTTGCCGTGAAACCTTTAGCCATACCTTGAAGAAATGACCAACCAATAATCATGTCATCAGATGTAAAGTGGGCGAATGTCTTGCTCATTGTAATACATGAGATATAGACAAGAGAGTGGTTACGTTGCAAACCCACAAACTAAGAGAGATTCTAGCAAGGATTTTTTGTTTTGATTGAACATAAAAAGGCACCGATATCATTATTGATCAGAACACCAACAGAACTGAATTGATAGTAGGACTTAATACAATACAATACACTTCCAACTTTCAGTTAACTAACAAAGAAGAAGAGGGAATGAAAAGAAATTGTACTTTCTTGGAGAAGAAGCTCCACGGAAGAAGTAGACTATCCTCTTCACAACCACTCGAAATTTATGTTCGAAAAATTTAAAAATGTACTACCAAAGCCTCGCTGCCCTGATCTACTGTGGAGTCTACCAATTTATAGGCTTATAAAGACTACATTATTATTTCGCTTCGATGTAGAACTTTGCATAGAAGCATACTACATCAATCCAACTTGTAACACTCCGTGTAACACACAAAGGTAGAGAAAAAAAGGAAACTTGAGAGAAATGTACGAAAGGAACAATAGTAACATGGAGAATCATGACAATTTAATGGATCTAGAAGATTATTAAATGGTGATTGCATCTGAGTCAGTGAGAGAAATTTTGAGCCATAACACATCAATAGCCTCAAACTGTTGGTTCTTATCACCTCGAGGAGCCCAATCAGGCAGTCTACACATACCTCCCCACATGGATAGCAGAAACCAACTGTTAGAGATGTCATGGATTGATTCAAGGTTTTTTCTTCGACTCCCCTCCCTCCCTAACTCTTTTCTAAACTAATCTTAAGTCAGCTAACACTGCTAGTCGAGGAAGGTTATGACTAGGCATGTGAAACACATGTTGTCCTAACCATCTCAATCAATGTAGTCTCATCACTGCATCGACTGACTTCCCTCACCTACCTAGCCACTCACTGGACGCCTTACGTCAATATTACTCACCATATTATATAATTTATGACACGAAAGACAGAATGCAAACATTTGTAATCAAAGACTGCTAGTCTCTTCTTATCTTTCACTTACAACGACCATGTCTCACAGTCATAAAGAACGATACAGAGAACTGTTTAACGATACACACACATTCCCTCCAGTCAGTAGGTGAATATCACGCGTCTATACCAGAGGTGGCATAAGTTTGCAAATGCCATACGAGTTTATATCACCGTAGAACACCTAAATCGTGCTTTCCAGTCTTCTAAAAGACTTCTGAAGAAAATAAATCTCATAAAAACGAAATGTAAAAATTAAAATGCAATAAAACTAACCTCTTCAGAAGAAAAGGTAAGACATTGTAAACGTCGAAGAAACAGCATTAGACTAGGATGTAGGGTAGTCTGAACTAGCTGAATCATTTGAAGTGTAGACGATTGGCCAATTAAACGATGATGATTATTATTATCAAATGTTAGTGGTAGAACAAACAATGTCTTACACCATGATGGAACTGGCGAATTCTCTTGAGACGATGACGCGAAGTTTTCACACCATTCAGGAATTAGTATCAATGACGGGGCTTGTCCAGCTGTGGTGGTGGTAGTGTTAGACTGATTCACCTTCGACTGTCTATGAAAACGAACATGAAATCCATTGGAATGAATTTCTGGTGCATTGGTGACATTGAAGACTGATTTAAAACCGATCCCTTTACGGCCTGGTATTTAAAATAAAAACTAAGGTTAACGATAACAATTGAAAATGAAATCACACACACAGGTATATGTGTGAACAATTACGTTATGTAAACAATAACAAAATACACAAAATAGAATTCAGTCTACATCAAAACGATCGACTGGACGCTTAACATTAGTAATAACCTAGTGCTCGCTCAATCAAAGTGTTCGCTACACTTTTACACGAGGTCAATGTTAACGTCTCTGACTGCAGCGAAGGGTGACGTGGGTTTGAATCTCAGAAGGGACATGAGTTCCTTCAAAGGTTGCAGGTACGCTTTGCTAACTGGTGAGTGCCAACTAGCACGAAACCTAGGTCAGACAAGACTCCCTACCGATTACTTCCAACCATAAATAATTAGGTCTTTCGCGATATGGAACAACACTGCGTCACCTGATATGCTTCAGTTTATTATTCTTTTACTTATGGATCCTGTACAAAGAGGAAATGTTTCGCACTTAAATACTCTGAGAATTTCTGTACTATGTATTAATACACTGTCTGAAATAAAGCCTTATTATTATTATGATTCGCCATTTGTTTATTTAATGAAACCTCGAATTCCCTATTATTTATTTTTGATTGTCTGAAATGACGATTGGACAGTGCTTGCCAAATCACCTTGACATCATATTCATTGACAGGTGGTTGTGTTTTTAACAGTGGAATTTGGAAATAAATATCCCGTCCCACTTGAAACTCGTCAACTGGGCGTACACCTGTAATGCCTACAGCGAATGTTGGTGTTCTCAGATGCGATTTGAATCCGGCAACTCTTGTATTAAACTGATATGCGTTATTCACCACATTTTATATACATAAATAATGTGAAACGAGTGGATTTAACTATCATAACTTTTACAACGGGAACGGATACCAACAACTTTTCTTAATGTAAGTCTGGGATACTTTGCTGCACACTATCCACAATCAAACATCATATAAGGTGAAGCTAAGAGCCATTAAAAGTTCTCAATGCAGATGTAGGCACGAACCATCTTCACCTAGAGAATCATTAGAAATCATTGCAGCTATTTTGTCGTAGTTTGAGACTCTTCAGCAATACGCACTCAAGGTGCCCTAGGGATCGAGTCCAGGACCTTCGGATTAGGACGCCGGCAGGATGATCATTCAGCCACTGGGACGGAACCCAGTGGCCCGTGAGTTCTAACTTCTATCAATACGTGGTAAGTAGCGCACCACACACTCTAAAATCGAATATTAATCTATTTACCAAGCTTTAAAATTGAAATTCTAGTGAGAATTTACGAACGATAGGGTTGGTCCAAAAGCACGACATGGAAAAAGATTTACATTAAGCAGGATTTAAATTTATAGAATTTAAACTCAATGAGCAAATGATGACATGTTCATCTCAAAACCTGACAATCATTGGTTCCCACCTCTCATAAAGATTACTGAAGAGACAGCAAAGCAGTCAGTTCACAACAGCGCATAACTTCCAGCCAAAAGAGAGCAATATGATAAAATAAAACCGGAAGATCTTGAATTCGAACCCCAGTGGGTGCGCACACTGCTGAAGAGTCCCAAACAAGGATGAAACAGATGTCCAATACTCTCTGGTTTTCCTAGTGCTTCTCTTTAACTGATATCAACTCGTAATCAAACGTATAACCAATTAAATCCCTGCAAATAATTCGTGAAAATTAACTCACCAATTTTTAATTCACGTTGAGTTACTTTTGTACTCAAGCCAACATCGCATAGTGCAGACATATCATATTCACTAAATCCAATAGCTTCATTATTCATAACAAGGAGACAAGATGTTTTACATGCATTATTGTTATTGTTGTCATTTGACGCCAATGGCTTTTGTATATTGGATAAATGAAATTCCAGTGTTGGTGGCATCTCATCACCAGTATAAGAATTATCATCAGCATTTTGAATAAGTTCCAGTAAAAAGTGTCCTGGTAAGCCGTAGAGTTCTTCGGATAATTGAACTAGAGATCGGGATAATTTACCTTCAACTCTCTGTTATATATGACAAAAATAAGATAAAATATGAAATTATAAACTACTTTTAACTTGAAAAGAAAGCAGGTCCAATTTGTATGTATGGTTTTATTTTTAAAGACTGTTAGTAACAATGCAGTATATCATACACACTTGAGTCGTTCAAGATTTTCAAAGGACGTTTAGAAGTATTATACATTTGCTAGACTCAGGGATTAACTTGTTACCGCCAGAGGATAATCTCGTTGACTTAGAATATGCAGATGATATATTCCTTCCTCCTAGGTGAAGACGCTGACAAAATGCAGTCTTCTTAACATCCTGAGCTGCAGTCTGCGAATGTTTGACATGCGACATGTAAGATGAGGCTACAGGACTGGACTACACTGACTCCTAGCTTAGAAATAGGGAGTGAAGTGGTAGAGCGCGTTGACCACTTCACTTATTTGGGAAGTTGCATCAGCCAGTGCCAACGGGTTGATCGCTGACGAAATCTCAGCATGGATACAGAAGGCTCGTTTTGCAAATGCCAGTTTAGCCGTTTCTGGCGTAGATGTGACATCCGGTTATCGACCAAAGGGCGTGTATGCTGCTCAGCAGACCGCTTCGTCCTCCTTTATGGCTGACTGTGAGGCATGGCCATTGAGAATGGAAGACATGAAAAACCCGACTAGATGTCTTTGATCATATGTGTCTGCCATTTGTATCCCGTGTGAAGTGGTATAATTGGGTGAACCATATTGAGGTTAGGCATCGATCGACTGCTAAGTAAGGAGGGGAAATCAATCGACGAGGTTGTGAAGCAGTTACATCGATTGAAATGGTTAGGACATGTGTTACGCATGCAACCCTAGCCATCGCCTTCCTCGACAGGCAGTGTCAGCTGACATAAGATGGATCAGGTTGGAAAATAGCCAGTGGTGGTCAAACCAAAACATGGCTTCATCAGTCAATGAATAAATCTGCAACGGTTAGTTTAAAGCCAGCCAGCCACGTAGGGAGGGAGGTGTAGACTTCCTGACTGGTTGGGGTTCTCAGGACGGTAAAATCCAATGACGACTGGAGACAATCGGTGATATGGCTCAAAGTGATCGTTCTCAATAGCTAGTGCAGATGCATCCACTCCTTGTGACTTATAATATCCAATACAAACTATATTGTTCTTCCATATTACTATTCTTTTTACCTTGTATTTCTTTTTATTATCTCTGTATTGAATCTCGTTTTACTCTCTTCTCGTGCTTTGTGTGCTACATGGAGTGTGGCGACTCGAACTGCTGCACATCGGTGCAAAGTTCTATATTGAAACCAGTCAGTCAGTCAGTGTGTGCCTGAATGATAACGTTTTCGAAATGCACTAATTGCATCTAATTTGTCAAATCTCAAGAAAATCGTACAAAGCTTAGGACCACGAAATTAAGACTCATCCTCCGGAGGATATCAGATGGAGATATACTGGATGATTAAAAGACATATATCTCTGATGAATCAGAGAACATCGAGTGGAATTCGGTTGTTTTGCAGCTCCTCAGTAGCTTAATTCTTACATCATCAGATCTCTTTTTTATCACATCAGACAAGAAATCCCCACGTGAAATACCTTCGTCTCCTATTAATTCTTATGAGAAACGCATACATATTGAAAGATATGCTATTCTTAACTTCCGGAAGACATGTGTGGACGGCATAGATCAAATTCAGTGCATGGAGTTTTTGAGTTCAACTATTCAATGTCCAGTTTATATGTATAATCTACTTTTACCATTGGGTCAGTCAAAATACGAATCTCAGATAGAACATAAAGATCTCCAAGATGCCACCATTACCACCTAACATGATAGATTGAACACAGACATCTATAGACGTATTTGTCCATATGGTTTCTGGGTTCTGTCTCTTCTGTAGAGTAGTGTACTATTGATCAGTAAGATTGAGGTTAGGCGTCGTGTTAGGTAAGAAGGGAAAACAATCGATAAAGTTATGGAAGCTGTATGGACCGAGATAGCCAGTACGCGTATTGCACGTATTGCTGAGCCATCGCCTACCTTGACAAGCAATGATAGATATCATTGTATTCGGTTGGAAAAGAGTAGCGGATATGGTCAAGTCAAAACATGGAATCAATTCATTAAGACTTTGAAAGTTGGTTTGAGCCAAGTGGGGAGAAGTAGACTGGTTTGGCTGGGGTCATCGCGACGCTAAAAACAGATCGCTAATGATATGCGCAAAACTGTTCACAATGACACAGAAGCATTCACACTTTATGAACATTCAGAACTCCATGTAATTAAAGTTTGTCCCGTACTTCTCCCTTCCTTATATTTTCTTTACATGTTCCTGATTTCTAACTTTATGTGTGCTTCATGAAATGTGGTCATTTGAACTATTACACTTTTTGCAAAGTTCTGTGTTGGAAATTAATTTCAGTTCCGTTGAATCAATTCAGTTACCTGGAACAGAATTTCCACGAAACAGGCTATGAGCCACACTTATTGTGTCACAGCTAATAATAACAATAATAAATTAAGATGAATAGCATTCGAACCAGCAGCCAAATTCAATTCAGATGGCCAGCCAGAAAGAATAAGTAACAAGGAACTCTGGTAACAAACCAACCAAGAAACTATCGTCCAACAAATCTACTGAAGAAAATGGAGATGGATCGGATATACGCCGAGGAGACCGTTGACAGATGTCCCACGCCAAGCCCGAACGAGAAACGACAAACTTGTCGTCTATGGGTAACATGCAGGAGATCGTGTGAGGAAGAGATGAAAGCTTACAGGCGATCGTGGAGGCAGTTAAAAAACAGACTGCAGAGAACATGATGAAATGGAGATGTACTGTTGAAGGCCTACGTTCCACTCGGAAGCAAAGGGAATAATAATAATAATAATTTTCTACAGAAGAAAAGCACAATGTGAATACACAAATAACTACTGCTACTAGAGATGTAAATATACGACAACAACAACAACAACAGAAAAACGCATCAATCATAACTAACCTGAACTAAATCAGATGCTTCTTGACTTAATTCTACACCCAATCCAAATTCACGACGTCTAATCTCTTCAATAAACTGATAACGATTAGAAGTAGTATCCTCAGAATCATTAGCCACGATGACGGTGTGTTGGCCGACATGTTCACTACTAGTTTCAACTGCAGGCATTGAAATATCCATATCGGAACAATTATGCACTGCATCAGTTATATCGCTGGAATTTTCCTAGAATTAAAAAATGAAATGGACAAAAATGCTAAATGTCTTAACAATATAATAATCCAGTAATACGTTAAATTGGTAATTTGGTGGAGATAGTGACCAATAGGAGAATCTATTACGCACATTTCGTCCTATATAGGATTTATTGCCCCATATAAACAACCTGGTGTGACCAATGGTGGCTAGACTTTGGTTTTTCACTCAAAATGCTCTTATGTGGTCACGCGTTCATCGTCTTTGCCAGATAACTCTTCTATTCACTGTATTCACGCTGCGGGAATGTTCTTCACAAAAGTGAAAGGATGAATGAGAAATTCTAGCGGTTAAAACCAGATTAATGGACATGCAGGTTTATTCAGAGAAGCTGAAAAAATCCTGACTCAAAACATATGGTGTACATAGGCTCCAGAATTCTAAAGGAGTGAGTGGCGTATAAAACCTGTTTTAGTCACCGGAAATCATTGGAACGCTGCTGCACTGCCTCGTGGATCAAACTTCACGTCAACGTCTCATGGGGTGGTGGTCCCTTAAGGCATCCACGTGCTTCGGTCTGAGTATCCAAGCAGTATCCTAGCCATCGCACAAACCATGGGATTTTATGTGACGCATCAACTTGAAAGCCGTAACTCGGTGGCTGGAAGTAAAACACCTATGTCAATGTACCACAGTGGAATTTAAACACAACAGTCACTATCTGAAAGTCTAACAGTAAATCGTATACATTACTTTTTAGTTCCACAATATTATTAATTATTTCATTACCGTTAATTGAATTTCAGATTTTCCCATCGATTGATTGGACCGAAGTGCTCGGTCTCAGGTTGACAGTGGCTCTGGCAGATGTTGATGATGTTATCCCAATCGTCGAAGCATCTCTCAAGAAGCCCACATGTCAACCTGAGACCGAGCACTTTGGTCCAATCAATCGACGGGAAAATCTAAAATTCAATTAAATCAATATGACCCGTTGCACAAGAGGTGGCTCTCTTGGTCCAAGTGGTCCAGTGGATAACGCTTTGGCGTTTGAAACTATGGGCACTGGGTTCGAGCGTCGGTGGAACATCATCACTCACTGAGAAATCCAGCTGACGAGTCCCAAATGGGACGAAATACACATCCTGGATTCCACTGCTAGTCACCATCCACCAATTAAATACTATTTTTGAATTGCTGTAAAAAGCATTTACAATAATTAGCCATCTGTGTTAAATGAACTCTACCCTAATTTATGATAGTTGTTACCAATCTTTACAATTAATAATATTATTCACCATTTAATATAATGGATAGCTTCGAAGACTTTTATTCAGTAGGCTGAGAGTTCGAATCCATAAGATTTAGATATAATGGAGTTTGAGTGGGTTCCTGCATAGAAGATGCAGCGTTTCGCCTAGTTCTGTGCGTTGGTGGTTGTATAATCAGATGCACACGTGATCCACATCCGATTCCCGGCCAACATACTCTTAAACCTCAATTAGCTTACATATTAAGTCCAGGAAACAGGGAAAGTGGACGTGAGGCTGGTAACCCTACCAAATAAGCAACAAATCAACACATTGCTACTGAAATCTTAAAGCTTGAATCTTTACGTTCCATCCAAACGAATAAATAAAATACAGTTGACTTTTGAATTCCCACCACCATAATGGTATTAAAATGTATCTGTATCGCATAAATTTGTCACGTCGTGAGAAGTATTTTCGACAGGGCTACTGAAGACTTTTATCAAAGCTCCCCTTCCCAGCTCCATACTGAAGATCACATGACCGGTCAGAAAGGATTAGCAACCAAGCGCTCTGGCAACGAACCAACTAAGAACCTACAACCCCACAAATATGCTGGAGAAAATAGAGATGGATAGAACTCAGACTGTGAGAAGATCGTTAAGTGACATCACGCACCTAACCAGCCCTCGAGTGGAAGCCTGAAAGGAAATATGAATTGGATGTTGGTCCTACGGTGACACACGGAGGAGATTATGCGGAAAGGTTATGAAAGCTTACGGGAAATCATGCAGCCAACCAAAGATGACCGCATAGAACAGGGTCAAATGGAGATGTGCTATTGAAGTCCTATGTTGCACTCACAACTTAAGGGAATAATAAATAATACATCTACTGTTCATACTGAAAACTGAAAGAGAAACAAGCATAACTAGATAAATATCTGCTGAAAACTTACTTTATTCATTTCTGTTAATTTTAAACAACTTTCACGATCAGTCGCATTGTTATTACTGTTATCAACGGTTTCCTTTTGAGAAATACTCTCCGTCTGCTGCATGGGTGATGGATAAACAGTGATTGTCACCGGTTGTGAAGACGTCTCAATATTATGCATTTTATTATTATCATTATTATCAATTGGCTTGAAACGATTTTCTTCAAAAAATTTAATATACACCGGCCATTTCAATTGATAGCCGATACTACCGATAGCTGAGATTAAATAATTTCGATTAGGCTGAGAATCTGTTGAATTATTATTGTTATTATCATTGAGACATTTATATAATGGAAGAATAGCATTATCACCATCATCATCATCATGGAATAGAATATGCAGGAAACTATAACTAACACTGGAATTTTTTAGCGTTATATCAGGGATATCTAATGGCCATGAAGTTGAGCTTCTTATTCCGGCTAACTCCAAACTGGGAATAATAATCTGATAAATGGGGAAAGAAAAAGCAAATCACAATGGGGACAGTAAGTACAAATTAAACGAAAAGCTTATTTTGGTAGATGGTGACTACAAGTATAGAATCCAAGATGCGCATTTCGTCCACTTCGGCGACTCATCATCTGGATGCACCTGCATCATGCATTGAGTACGTATCCCCTTAAGACTCGAACCTGGTATTCATTGTTTTAAACGACTAGACCACTTGAACCAAGATAGCCAGATGATGAGTCTCAAATAACGACGAAATGAGCATCATGGATTCCATTGCCAGTCACTATCCACTAAATAACATTGTCGAAGCGTCTGTTCTGGGGGAGGGGGGGTTAACATGTCAACAGAGGCCAAACAGTTTCTTCTGATCAATCAACGAGACAAACAAAATTGACATGACACCGTCCTATATAATAGTTTGCTTACTGGATGTATAATGCACACAGTGAAAGAAGGAAATTGCAGCACGTTCGCCATTGATTAAGATTCTTGGCCATATCTGATAACGTTTCAAACTATCTCTCGAACTCCAAACAGGGAGTTGTGACGCTAACCCAACACAAATATCCTTTATCCCACGACGCTACGTCATGGGCTGATCACCTCTCCTCTTTTTCCATCCCGTTCCAGGGCTAAAGAACAGAAAACTGTACGGAAGCCTCTGGGATGACATTTGCAGCACATGTTCCAGCCGCCGAAGCCAGTGTTTCCAAATGACAACATTCAACGAATGATGATCTCCACTGTGTCCAAACACACGCCGCCGAACCTCAGAATTACTCACGCGATGATGCCATCGGACGCAAGCAATCCTGCAGAGACACCACACATCCTCAGCCCGGAGAGGCCAGGTTTTACAAGCGTAGAGCAAAACAGCCCGCACCGAAGCATTGTATACCCGACCTTTGACAGCCAGATTAACGTGGTGACGGCACCAGAGGTAACTCAAGTTAACGTATGCCAGCACTCACACAACTACCCAGATATACAAACTTATCGACAACTTCAAACGGTTCACCTGCAAGAGTGAGTGCAGGTACAGGTTCCTGCCAATCTTCTAAAAATACTTTGCACTTAGACGGAACAAAGCACATACCATGCTTACAGACACTGACACACACTTGACAAACAACGCGCCACAAAAAGCATTTTCAACAGTCTACAGATATTCATCAATAGCTGTCTTCGCTCGATGCTAAAAATTAAATCGTCGGCCATAAAAGGAATAGCAACAGGGGTATCTAGTGGTGCAGTGAACCAGTCTACAACATATTCCCCAAGATGTATGCAGCGGGAGGAAATGGAGATGGATCGGATAACATACAAAATAATAATAATATTAATATTAAAACTAAATACAAATGTGATATAGACAACTTACCGACGAAAACACTAAACCGAACAAACTAAACGGTAGATTCATTAACAAACTGTACACAAAATAAATCCATGCATCATTGGCACCTGAAAAAAAAGAAAACGAAAACAAGTGATCGTTGAAAACAAAGAATAAATAAAGCGCATTACCATCTCGATTCTTGTTGTTGATGAATTGATTTTTAAGCGTTGAACACACTTGTTCAATTGTCAACTGATTAATTCTAATAGCTGTACCAATTAAATAATCACCAATTGAACGAATTGTATACGAGGCATGATTGAATTGCCAATTAACCAGTGCATCTGTCAAATCATTCATTGAAGGATGTGCAGTTAATCGTAGAAGAGGACCACCGCCAATTGGAAGGATACGAATAGCGATTAAATTGAATTGACCACATACTAAAAAGTAAGATAAATGAGAACAAATATAAGAACTTGAAAGGAAAAAAACAGAATATTCATTCGTCTACAAATCATGTCTATTGAATGGTGATGCCAGACAGGATGATAATGCGTAAGTTACTAAGAAATTAGCCACTTTACAACTCCATAGTTAAAGGAATTATCATTATAATTTTTATTATTATCAACCTCTTGAATTCTGGGAGGAACACATGGCACGCCTCCATTTTAGCCTGTTCTCTAAAGTTTCTTTTCCTCTTCACACGATGTTTGTGTCACCCTCGGGGACGCATCTCCGAAGTCTTCGCTTCCCATTCAGGTTTTCCACTCGAGTTCTTGGCGTGGAACATAAAATAACTCAAATTGGTCCACACACATTGTACTGTAACAACAGAAGACAAGGTCCAGGCAACAGATCGTTTATTAAGGAAAATCAACACATATTTATAGATTTTAATGTACATTATTGTAGATTATTGTTAGAAGAAAATACAGTCTTTTGATTGGTTGTTTCTCACAGAAAGTTAACCTTGCATCTCTTTGTGGCTGTTTCAGATCATCTATATGCTCACTGTGTCCGCCTACGCAAAGCCTTTGTTCTCATTTTCTCACCACCAATATTGGGGACATAAACATTGACGTCAATTACTGTCTACCAACTTTGGCTAGCAGCCAGCTCTCACCACAGTACGTCCTCTGTCTACCTTAAATTCCTTCTGCATACTTGTTGAACACAAATTTTTCAACTGGTTCATTGCCACAGTTCCTTCTTGTTGTTTATCTATTTGTGATCGGTTATCTTATCTTCAATATCAACGCAGGTGTTGATGAAAGTCTGCAGCAGTCTGTTGGGCGCGCCAATTCTGTGAATCATATGGAAGAATTGACGTGACGCTTGTGTTGAAAATCCGGATGTTATTCCTTGTACTAAGTGCTGTATAAATCTCCAAACTGATTTTACAGTAGTAAACGTCTGTCTTGCTTTTCCTATCCCCGTTTTCTCTTCATAATACATTCGTATTATTATCCTTGTACTTATTTCTTCACCCATGCATTTCCTAACACTATTATTATTATCATTATTTTAATCATTTACGTTCCCAATGGAACATGGGGCTATTCCAAGCTAGAAGCTTGAAGTTTCAGTAGCAGTGGTATTTATTTTTACGGGATGCCCAACCTTCCCTCTTTACTAGTCTTGTTACTACTGTGCCACCGACGCACCTTTTTGAATTTTTTCTACGTATTTATGCTATATGGGAGGTGAAACAACTTGAACTGCCGCACTTTTATGCAAAGCTCTACAGTGAAAATCTCACTCAGCCTAGGTCAAAATCGTATGTTCTTTCTAAAATAACCAAACTACAACTTCTAAAACCAGTAAGAGTTAAAACACTGGAAGGCATGAAAAGGCAATCTATCTTTGGCTACATATGTTAGCATTCTATCTCCCTTGTTAAACAGTGTAATACAGTGAGTAATGTTGAGGTTAGGTGTAGAGTGTTATGTAAAGAGGGAAAATCAATTGATAAGGTAGTGAAACTGCACTGATTGTGATTGCTAGGATACATGTGTTACGCATGACGAGCTATCGCCTTCCTCAACAAACCATACTAGCTTACATAGGATGGTCAAACCAAAATCTGGAATCAATCCCTGAAGTCTTTAATAGTTGGTTTCAGCTATTCACGTACGGAGGTGTAAGCTACCAGGTTGGGATGCTAATGACCAAACCGACTGGAGACTACTGGTGAAATGACTCAAAACCGTTGTCAATAGTGCGGATACATTCACACCTTGTAATCTTCAAGACCGATTAAGTCATGTTTTTCCATGCAATCATCTTTCTTTCTTCCATCCATTTCTCTACCTTTGAGTTATTTTTCCTTTCTCTGCTTACGTGTGCTACATGAAGTATGGCAACTTGAACTGTCCCACCACTGTGTAAAGTTCTACGTTCAAATCTAGTAGTGTACATTAAGTCATAATCCCCCCACCAGACGTCGAACCTACGGCATTCAGATTGCAAGACCGGCCCGGCGACTATTCAACCACTGAAGATGTGGCCGACTGATCTAAACACTAGACTATTAGCTAGCTGGGAAGTCTCGGGTTTGAGTCCTGTTCTGTCTGCTTCACAACGAGCACCTGGATAATATTATCAGTTAAGTGAAAATTCTAAGCAAAGCAAATGAATCCAACGATAGGATAACGTCTAATGAATAAAAGGCATTCTCAGTCAGTTAAGATATTCAGTTTTCAAGGATTAGAATAAAGCTCCACTTAAGGAATTCCGAATAATCAGCAACTTCAGGGATATTAAACATTACCACACTAGATCCTACATAAACCCATTGTGTGTGTGAGTTGTTCAGAAAACACACAGATATAGCAGACAGAGTATAGCTATGTCTCATTGACGTAGGTGCTCGACTTCCAACTAGTCGGTCAGGGGATCGAATTGCGCCCTTACACAATAGGTGTGACTCATTGCTAACTGCACAGAATTGTAAATGGTTGATTAAAAAGGATGAAGAGGATGTGAAGAAGCGGCAAATTTGATTCAACAATCAAGTCACAGCTTAAAATCATGAAATCCTAATGCTTTGGCTATTAAAATTTCTTTTCTTTAAAAAAATATATACTCACCTTGATCACTTCCAGCTTCGACAAGAAATGTATCTAAACTACCCCAACGATCATAGAATAAACCATCTTGATACCATTGTGACCATACCTCTAAATCCATTAGAGATGGACAAGCCGACAGAAAATTCAGCACACATTCACGTTGAGTAAGTAAACGTGAAACAATATCAGATGCCTTTGAACCAATAGATTGTTGAATTTCTTCAATACTTAAAATACCTGGGAGATTAACAGAATGGCTGGAAAAATAGAGGCAACAAATTATTTTTTGATGTAAATAATAAGATTAATAAACTTCAGGAAATGAATAATTATATGTATATATAATGCATATATGCACGGACTCCTGGCATAGATACAAAATGTCTAATTGGCATTCGCCCAGTTGCATCATCGTCAGCGTAGATGTGTTATCCGGCTATCGATCCAAGGACGTGTGTAATAAGCAGCCTCTCGCTCCGTCCCTCTTTAAGGCTATGAGAGATGACCATTAAAGAGGAAGGCATACGTGTTCGTGTTCTTTCTCAGATGCAAAGCGGTATAATATAGTGATTCATACTGAGGTTAGTATTAGAATGTTAGATAAGGGGTGCAAATCAATCAATGAGGATGCAAAGCCGCATCGATTGAGATGGTTAAGAAATATGTTATGCATATCAAGCAATCGCCTGTCTCGTTAAACCATGTTAGCTGAGGCAGAGGACTGCGTTGGAAATCTTTTTTAAATCATTGAGTTTCAAGTAGAAGATAGGGCTACAAGCTTTTCAGAGTTTCAGGAAAGGTGGTATTGTTCTTTGACGAGTGCATTGCTAGCCTCATGCATAACCTTAACTCTTTCCCATGATATTACCGAACTGCAGACTAGGAGAGGTTTAGAAGTGAGTCGGATTGGAATGAAACCCATACTTTCAGCATGACTAGCAAGCATTCTACCATCGACCCAAAGAAGAGAGCTAGAAATGGTCAAATCAGACCTTGGCATCAATCCATGAAGTCCTTGACTGTTAATCTGAGCCATTTAAGGAATTGTAGACCGCATGGTTGGAGCAGCGGTCGTATACGTTTCGGAGAATTACAGTGTTGGTCACCAAAAGCATTTCAAACAGACTACTGTAGACTTTTATCAGCAGCTGCCTGCCTCCTCTCGATGCTGAAGATCAAATTGCCGATCATAAGGAAATCTGACAGCTAACTAGCCAATAACCTATCGCCAAACAAATACGCACAGAGAAGAATGGAGACAGACTAGGACATAAGCTGAGGAGACCGTTGAGTGACATGATACGCCAGGCGCCTAAGTGGAGCCCGAATAGGAAACAACGACTGGGGCGCAGGATCGAGAGTGTGGGTGGTAGTCGGACCAGCTAAAAAAGACTGTAGATAACAGGATGAAATGAAGATGTGCTGCTGAAGCCGTTCTTCCACTCGCCACCCAATCGAATAATAAATCTATGTTCCAACTTCATGGTAAAAATGTACACCCTATTCAAATACACAAATATCACAGAAAACAGGCACAGGGATTTTGAGTCATCGCTTACAAATTACACAGTTCGATGGGAATATATACAACCGTCTCCTTTGAATGCTTAAATAGTCAGATCACACTATTTATGGTCTGTATGATGCTTTGAATTTCAACCAACAACGCAAGTGGCACAGCATGACTGTATGTAGCACCGACCGGTGTAAGTAGTCGGAACCTACAATAAGTCAATCATGAATACTTGCTAGACAGATGGTAGTCATCTAACCAACTACTCATAATAATCAGTAATACATATACTACCATGTGAACACCATATTTTTAAACACATAAAAGCATATAAACTATTATTATCAACTTACTGATACACTAATGGTTTCATCCTATTCACTTCATTACTATCAGTAAGTTGAGATAAGATAGAATCAATGAACTGATCTAATTTTGATGAATGTACAATATTCAAATTATCACAGACAAGTTTACACAATTCCTATGCATAATTAAAGCAAAAAGAAAAGTTAAGAATTAAGTATGAAGAAGTACAAGGAGTGTTTGACAGTTTACAAGGATAAGTATAAAATTTCTTTGTGACATATAGTGCAGCTAACTGCCAGTCAGTGTTATCGACGAGTGTATTTGTCCTCACCCACTAAACTTGGTGAAACCCGGCTGGTCACGACTTCTGTGGTCAGTTAGTTAGTCAGTCAGTCACTATTAACGAACACTAGATGAATTTTTAAGTATCAAGTGTTGGTGTTGCAGGGATTTGATCGGTTACAGGACTGATCACGAGCTGACATCAGTTACAGAACCATTGGGAAGCCTGCGGGTACTAGACAACTGTTTCATCCTGGTTTGGGACTCCTCAACAGTGCGCACCCACCGGGATTAGAACTCAGGACCTTCCGGTTACGACGCGAACTCGTATAGACCATTCAGTCCAGCTGGTCAGTACTGTGAGGAGTCCCAAACTGGGACGAAACAGCTGTCCAGTACTCCCAGGTTTTCCAATGGTTCTGTAACTGAGGTCAGCTCGTGATGAATCCTGTAATTTTCAAGTGTTTGTAAAGCTTGGTTTTTTCAATGGTTGTCTAGCTGAAATCAATGAAAAAATCTCTGCAAACCAGCTCCCTGAGTTTCTATCCATTTGGTAATCAGACACACGCCTAGAGTGTGAGCGCCAGTGCAACTGCTTGCTTGCCCAAACCTCGACAGGTGGAACAAGAGTTTCGAACGCATTACACACACACCCTCTTGTGGTTGGATGTCAAGGGGAGGGCAGCTAGATTAGTGAGTCGCAGCTCCTTTTACAATTCCAGTAATAACTGAAGATAATTTATTCCAGTGCATTGTACAAAAAGTCAGTTTAGATTCACATAATATATTGTGCAGATACTTACATCATATTTACAATATCAATGCTTTATACAATTGAAGCTTAATTATGATCTGTATTTTGATAATGACCATAACACAATGTCAACACTAGTGAATGAATACAAGCTTATTATAATAGAAAATAGCATAGATATATAACATACTATGCTGGCTAGCCAAAACGCACTTAGTCAGTTGGCGACTACTTTCTTTAAGTATGGTGTTTTTGCTCTACACCGTCCGGGTGCAGAAATTGGTAAGAACCCTACAACCACACTCACCCTTGCATGTAAACCATTAGAAGTCGATAAGTTCGAGTGTCCAGGTAGTTGTGTGACAGTTGGTGGTGTTCATACGGGGAAAGTTAAAGCTGTATATGCGAAACTAAGTCACTGATGGCGCTGTAGCCAAGTCACTGTTGCGCCTACAAACAACCTGATACGGCCAAGATGAGTAGACTTCGATCTTACTCTCGAAATGCCCCAATATGGCCACGCGATAACAGCCCCTGTCACCTAAGTTTTATCCACTGCTTTTATGCGGTAGGGGGGTATTTTGCATTCTGGTAACTATGGAAACGTAACAACTCATGACACTGCTCTATTGCCTTGTGGGTCAGATTTTAAGTCGAAAACACTGTGGATAGAGGGTGCCCCTTAAAACAACCACACACTTGGATCTGGGTGTCCGGAAAGTATCCCAGCCCTCGCAAAAACTATGAGACTTTGAGTGACATATCTCTCGGTGCCATAACGTACCAAGCTTGTGCTTTAATAAATAAGAATATGTTAGTTTAACCGTCAAAGGTCTAGTTCACAACGCTTTGGTGAGTGTGTTTATTACCACATGCCTATGAAACTAGACCTCTCTAAGCTAAGGGTATATGTCAACACTACGTTCTCCATGACTGTGATCAGCATAGAATTGCTTCTATCCGATAATGCCAATCGTGTAAGTAGTTCTCCTACCCAACGATTTTATAAATAAATGAATTTATCTTAGGGCATCCGATTCAGTGACTCAGACATATGCTACGAATATCGTCTCAGTGGTTTTCATACCGTTCATTATTAGCTAGAGCCGGATGGAATTGGATTCAACAAACGGAGGTAGTTAGTCCATGACGCCGCAGGCTGAGGAGTAATCGTGATTCACCGACACAGTATTATCACTGTGTGCAATGTCTGATACACTTATCCAACACAGAATAGTAGTGAACTCTAGGCCAAAAAAAACATGTATGATTGAAAATAACACCGCTGATAATAGTACAATCACTTACTTCTTTACTCCTTGAAGAGATACAAGTTAATTTTTGTATAAAGTCAAATACTAGTGAAGGATCCATATCTTCTGATGTAGACGAAAACTCTTCTGGTGAAGTGTCGACTTTTTCACTATCATGTGACTTTTCTTGTTTAAAACTGGTTGCCATACTGAGTGGAAGCTATGAAAAAAAATAAATGGATAGATAAATAAAACAATTAACGCTTAACTGACTAGCTTGACTGAGTTCAAATATAGGACTTTGCACAAAAGTGCACCACCAGTTCAACTTGTCATATTCTATATAGCAGACAAAGAAAGTGAGAAGATATGTGGAGAATAATAAGGACTTAATGCATCCGGGAGATAACATACAGAGAATGCAGTTGCGTCACTGAGAACGATTTCGAGCCATATCACCAATTGTCTCCAGTCGTCATTGGTTTTTACCGTCCTGAGGACCCCAACCAGTCAGGAAGTTTACACCTTCCTACATGGCTGACTGGCTGGCTTATACTAACTGTTGCAGATTTATTCATTGACTGATGAAGCCATGTTTTGGTCTGACCACCACTGGCTCTTTTCTAACCTGACCCATCATATGTCAGCTGACATTGCCCATTGTCGAGGAAGGCGATCGATGGCTAGGGATGCATGCGTAACACATGTCCTAACTATTTCAATCGGTGTAACTGCTTCACAACCTCGTCAATTGATTCTCCCTCCTTACCTAGGAGTCGACCGATACCTAACCTCAATATTGCTCACCCTAATATACCACCTAACACAGGAGATAGAACACAGGCACCTATGGTCCAAGACAGCTAGTCGGGATTTTCATGTCTTCCAATTCCAACAGCGATGTCTCACTGACAGCCATAAAGGAGGACGAAGCGAACTGCTGAGCAGAAGTTGGATAGTATGTCTACGCCAGAGATGAAGTAAGTTAACAAATGCCACACGATTTCTTTGCATCCGTGCTGAGATTTGGTCAGAAATCAGTCCACCTAGGCTGATACAACTTCCCAAATAAGTGAAGTAGTCAACACATCCAACCACTTCACCCCCTATCTCTAAGCAAGAAATCAGCGCTGTCCAGTCCTACAATACCACCCAACATTTGACAGGCACAAATCGCATGTCAGACACTCCAAGATTTCTCCTCACGGTATTCAGAAGACTCTGCATTTTCCCAGTGTTTTCCACTTAGGAGGCAAATATCACCTACATATTCCAAGTCGATAAGACTATCCCCTGGTAATGAGTTAACCTATAAGTCGTTAAAGTTAGTTACGGGCGATTCCATTAGTACATCTATGATGAAATTAAAGCAAAATGGGAACAGTGGACATTCCTGACAGACACCACTGAAGATGACAACCTCCTTATAATCTCTTATGCAGCTGTGTTAGTTCGAGTAATGCTTTAATATTAGTGCAATGTACTTTCTCGGCCCTGCCTTCAAAGCCAAACATTGCCACAGTACCTCTCGGTCGACGAAGTCAAATATTGCCACCTTCAAGTAAAGACATATGGCAAGTGTTGGATGCGGGAAAGTAGTAGGCCTGTTTTGTTCCTTGGAACAAAACAATTCCAACAGTGGTGTGAACACGGGCAGTAATTTTGCTCGAAATATTACCAGTAACAAAACTTATTATTGTGTGTAAACTACTGAAATATAATTATACTTTATTTGAAGAATACTCTTCATCGATCAATCTCAGTCGTTTAACATAAGTTTATTGAAAACATACAAATATATGATTATGAAAATATCATTAATACATTTTTCCGCTTACAGGAATTACACTACTTTCGTCTTCATTTATAGCTTCCGCAAGATAACTTAACAGAGATCGTGAATGACTACTGTTGCTAGTCGTGGTGTTGTAGTTTTCTCCTTCTAATGGCTGTAAAACTTCTCTCTCCAGTGATGCAAGTGATAACCACAAACTTTGTGAGGGTTGTTCATGATTCTCAACTTCTTGGCTTAAGAGTTGATTAAATCTATTTACAATCTCAGTGAGTTTGGGATATTTATTTGCAATGGTATCTGAAATAAATGGAAAATGAAATTACATGCAGATACTCATAAATATAGATGCATACTAGTTTGTTGAAGCTAATTTTTGTCTTTTCCCGCCGACTGACTGTAGTGAACTGAAATATTCGGTCTTTGTTGACCTGTTGGTTCCTCCTGGAACAGGCGCTTCAAGTATGTCTGAGGATTAACAACATCATGCTATTTAGTGGATGGTGACTATAGCAATAGAATCCAAGATATATATTTCGTCCTATTTGGAACTTGTTGTCTAGATGCGCCTGCAATCTTCAGTGATTGATGATAGCATTCCCGCCAAGGCTCAAACCCAGAAACGATCGTGGCCCTAACAGTCTAGCGGATAACACTTTGTTATTTGATACGATGCGTACTGGGGTTCGAGTCTTAATGGAAACGCCACCATTACTCACTGCAGATAACAGGTATATTCAATTTACGAGTCTGAAATAAGACGAGATGCACAACTCCGATTACACTGCTAGCCACCATCTACTGAATAACAATCAACAATCTGTTCAGACTAAGCCTCTTTATTTACAATGTATGCTAACCAGTGCATTGTGCACCGATGGCACAGCGGTAGAATGCTCACTAATCACGCATGTGGTTCGGGGTTCGATTCCCAGCCAACACAATCCGAAACCTCGCTGACGTGTTAGTAGACTTGGTTAAAGAGGGAAGGTTTGGTGTGAGCCTAGCAACTTCCCCTCGTAAAAAAACACCCCACCACCGCTGCTACTAAAATTTAAAAGCTCAAGATTGAAGCCCCACTATGTTCCACTCAGAAGGCGAAGGGAGTAAATATGATTTTCATGATTTGAAAGTAAACCATGCTTTATGAAAAAGTAACGCAACAAGATATTATATAAGCAGGCGCAGTATGTCTAGCTAGACTGAAGTATGCCGACACGAATGACGTCCAACAACCAACAGCGTTAATTGGATAGGAAACAAATTAGGTAGGATAAAATAATCGTAACAGGATGGTAATCTCTTATATGTACTGGAAGTGTCTCCAATTTTGTCATTAGGGTTCTTAGCGTTAGTCCAAACAACACGTTTTGTATGCGAAATCATCGAGATCAGTGTGTCATATCATTTTAGTGACCTATTTGTCTCTGGAATTATCTTATTATTTTTATTTTATTCCATGGCCTTCCGAGTGGAACATAAGGTTTCAATCTTGAGCTCTGAAGTTTCAGTAGCAGCGCCTTCATTTTTTAATGGGATGGGGGGTAGTTAGTCTCAAGCCCAAACTTCCCTCTTTCCCAGGTTTACTACAGGCTAGCTAAGCGACGTTTAAGAGTCCATATGCCGTTGACCACAGCCTCAACCACATCCGCGATTGGTGAGCATTTCAACCGCTGCACCACCGACGCACTACTTACGGAATATCGTCTTTTCCAAACCTACCTCCCCATAAGTCTTGTGTGTAGCTGGTGTGCCTTTCATCTAACAATGAATCAAAAATAAAATCAGAAGAATGATTTACAATGTTGTGAATATTTTTGCAAAGCCATTCAAGATCATTTTGGTTTGGTGACTCACTCACTCAGTCACTTGGATCGCCATACTTCATTTGGTCTTGCCGTTTGTCATTTACCACATGGAAATATATGTTGCTAGTGAGCTGCATTTCTTGGATATTCACCCCTACTTCGAGTGTTCACCAAGTAGGTAGTGGCCAATATCATGTGTCTAGTCCTTGGCTACCTTATCCAACTACCGAAGAAGGGCGACTTAAGCCTGTGCAAGAACTGGCGTGGAATAATGCTCTTGTCCACACCAAGTAAGATACTAAGTCGTATCATCCTGGAGAGAATAAAGGATGCACTGGATACAAAACTCCGCCTGCCCAGAACAAGCTGGATTCAGGAAAGGTAAATAATGTGCTGATCAAATTGCAACTCTACGCAACGCCATCACAGAACAAAGCACAGAATGGCAGTCAAACCTCTACCTCAACTTCATCGACTTCAAAAAGGCCATCGACAGCGTAGACTGGGGAGTAATTTGGAAACTACTTCAACACTACGGTGTACCTCAAGTCGTTATCAACCTCATTCAACAACTATATGACAATGCCACGTGTCAGGTGATCTACAACGGAAAACTCAAGGAGGCATTTGAAGTGCACACAGGAGTAAGACAAGATTGGCCTATTATCACCGATGATATTCTTAATTGTGGTGGACTGGATTATGCGACACACCGTGTGTGGAGAATGAGAAGGCAGGAATACGTTGGACCTATAAGCAGACTCTAGAAGATCTGGGTTTCGCTTGTAGATGATTTATTTTTAGTGTCACGCGAACTAGAAGCCTTGCAGGCGAAAACCAACAAACTGACTGAAGAGGCAAACAGCGAAGACAGGACTCCAGTTGAACATAGAGGAGACGGAAGTGATGAAGATAACCAATTAACAGCAACAACAACCAGCACCAATCACCATCAACGGGAGAGATCTAACAGAGGTTGCCTCCTTCACTTATCTGGGAAGCATCGTTACAGCTAAAGACGGAACGGACGAAAATGTCAAAGTCAGAATCGGAAAGGCAAGATACGTCTTTATCAACCTGAGACCAGTTTGAAAATCTTCCGCACTCAGCCAGCATAAGGAACATGATTCGCATTTTCAACACAAATGTGAAACCGGTCAGTTCTTCTCTATTGGTCAGAAACTTGCGCGGCGTCACGAAAAGGATTTCCAACAGAATACCTCAGACTTTCATCAGCAGATGCCTTCGCTCCATACTGAAGATCAAATGGACAGAAAGAATAAGCACAAATCAACCAAGAGCCGATCGCTAAACAAATATGTAGGAGAAAGTGGAGATGGGTCGGGCATACATTAGGGAGGCCGTCGAATGACATCGTGCGCTAGGCCATTACTCAAGTAGAATCCAGACGGGAAGCGACGAGTGGATTGTTAGTGTGCGGGTGACATGCAGGGGATCGTGTGAGGAAGAGATGAGAGAGTTTGGTCAATCGTGGACCCAGCAGAAGAGGACAGCAGAAAACAGGACAGAGTAGAGATGTGTCGTTGAAGCTCTATGTTCCACTCGGAACACAAGGGAATAATAAGAAATAAAAACGTCCTTGATGTGTGGTGCAGATTGAATTTTATCAGTCAAGTTGGCAATGAGAACACCAAATTACATGACTCTCCTTCATGGTGCACTTTAAATTGACATTACTCAATTGGAGACATCCGGAAAGAGGTCCTAGGTTTTGCGCTTTTCCGCACTCTTCACCTATCCTGGTGGTGGCCACACTACAAACTTGACTGATAGGATTCAGTTTGCACTAAATTAGTTACCAGATGCATGACATTATTTACTACCTAAAGACTAGACAAAATATCCCCATCACAGTTCTACAGGAGGTCATTTGTGAACCCCAAATGTTCAGAGAAAACGTCTCTGACCGGTTCGTCTGTCTGAGGAGACATTAGTTTCCCCAAGGTTATAAATACACCTTGCTGACAAGTGTTAACAAGCACGAAACCGAAGTCCCAGATTTAACTGTCGATCACCTCCAACTATCTAGTATACATTCACTCATCCACTTTATATATATATATATATATGTACACGAAGAATCACATAAATTACGATCAAGTTCATAAATAAAAAGGACTGGTCAAAAAAATATACATGAACACCTCACTTACCGTCAATTTCAGTTGTAATTTCACTAAATTCATCTTGTTCACTATCTGAATTAGTTGTTAAATCAATCAATTCCGTTGTCTCGTTTCCCACAGTAGATGATGATTGCAGTACTCTATCCGATTTGCGAACTGATGATATAACATTAGTCAATAATTTCTTAATATCCATTGATTCCGTATTGAAAATTAGTATAAGTAAATGGATTAGTGTGCGAAAAGGCTGAAACAAGACCGAAAATAAGAAAAAAGTGTGAATAAGTCTTTGGAGTAAAAATTTCACATACTATAAATATTTGCAAAGAAGAGCAACAGTTCAGATTGTCATGTAGCATTCAACGATAGAGAAAAGAGAGAAAAACAATTTCAGAAGAAATATACCGATAGGAAATGTGCAGAAGATAGAATAATTGCACTGAAAAGAAAAACAACATAACAACTTGATGGATCTAAGAGATTACAAAGAAGTAATGCATCTGAGCCATTGATAACAATTTTGAGACATATCACCATCATCATCACCATGGTGTCCAGTCGTTGACTCTTAGTGCCTTGAGGACTCCCACCTGGCAGTTCACCACATCTCCTCACATGGTTCAAACCAACAGTTAAGAGCATCATGGGTTGCTGCTATTTTTGAGGATTTGACACCATTAACGCCAACCTGACTGAAATTCAACACAGAACTTTATAGAGAAGTGAAGCAGTTGAAGTAGGCCGGACCAATAGCTTCTATCTTGATAATAGTGGTCCAGGTTACATATCCCAGTGACTCAAGGGGCTTACAATGACTAGAACTAATTTTCCTACATAGGCTCTACTATTCCATAAAGGGTGCAAGTAGTTGAGAGTCCCTGGGCGAAGTTACACAGCTGAGGAATAGGACAATAACGGCAGTAAGGTGTTTCCCTCAGATGCCCACCAAGCCATTTATGCTGTCTTCCCACTGTGGTGAAGGGAAGTTATAGCAGACTGAGGCGAAAATTCTACATCCCAACTGACCTTATGGTAGTCAGTAACTGGTAGTAAGATTCTTATACGGACACAACTCGAAAAACTACTTCAAACGGGAAGTGTGTAACCAGCTTCAAACAACCGTCCCCTGGACTCTAAGGCCACGACGCAACACTAATGCTCTTTCTGTTTCAGGTACTCCATGAGGAAATAACTTCAAATCTAACCCTACATTAGCTAACGTGGTTGGAAAAGGAAAGCGGTGACTAGGTGTGTATAACACGTGTTACTATAAAAACAGTCTAGACGAGAATATACAGACAGACATAGTGTTGAAATAGGAATCCGATCATCTGATTCACCTACCCTCTAGTTCGTCAAACCGTTACCCTGCTGACTGATATGAGGGGGGGTCAAGTCTTCACATCTCTCTCTCTCTTTACATTTATAATAAGGAAGAAATGGTGACTACTTAGTTAACTTATTGCTTAGAAACTTGCCAGGGACATCACTCGTACCAAATTCCCATAAAACTTCATGAACTCTCTTCATCAGATCGCCGCGCCTGGGCAGTGATGATTCGAGATGTTCATGAAGCCGGCTCATCCTCCCGTAGGAGATAGCCGAAGTAAAGAAAGAAGAAGAGACTAACACATCAGCAAACCATGATGAGCGAGAAGACGCACATACGTTGGACCAATAAAAAGACGCCAGAAGACTTCGCGGATGACTTATGTCTTTAGTGTCGCACAAAATCCAAGATCTTCAGGCAAAAACCAACAATTTGGCAGAAGATACAGCGAAGACAGGACTTCAAGTGAACATAGAGAAGACAGAGGTGATGAAGATACCTAACCACCAACAACACGTGTACGGGAGGAATCTATCACTTACTCTCCACTAAGCAGTATTGTCTCAACTACAAGCGGTACACATTAGGATGTCAAGAGCACGATCGGAAAAGCAAGGTGGACGTTCGTTAATCAGAAATCAGTGTGGGACAAATTCCGGACTTTCAACATTAATGTCAAGTCAGTGGCTCTACACAGTTCAGACACTTGGTGCATAACGACAAGCATCTCTAATAGACATCAGACTTTTATGAACAGCTGCTTTCGCCTCATGCTGAAGATCAGATAGCCGGCCAGAATGGATAATTAAGTAACAAAGAGACCTGGAAATAAACCAATCAACAACCTACCGCTCAACAAATATGCGGAAGGAAATGAAGATGGATTGGATATTTTCTGACAAGACATACAGTGAACCACGTGCCAAGTTATCGAGTGGAACCCAAATGGAAAACCACAAGTTAGGTAACCAAGGGTGACATGAAGATGCTGTGAAGAGGAATTGACAGTTTGTAGGCGATTATGAAGCTAGTTTTAAAAAAGACTACAGAGGACAGTGTGAAATGACCATGTGCTTCTGAAGCCCACTTCTGTCCCACTCAGAACCCAGGGGAATAATTATAATAATGTCAAACAGTCAAATTTAGTCATATATATATATAATATTATATATATATATATATAAACTTATGAATCATCTTACCCCAGTAGCAGCAATCCGCTCCATATACTGTCCAAAAACCAATAATGAATCTAAATGCCCTTCAGGCCATACTAGATTTTTCTCCTTGGCCCAATCTTGCAGTTCAGTGTGCAGTTGTGTAGCACACTGAGCTAAATGTTTCAACACACTAACAGGTTTCTTAGTTCGATGCAATTCTGTTGAAAGATAACATAAAAATGGATGGAGAAGAAAAACAAAAACAAAGAAGTAGAATACTTGATCAACTTCAACAACGATGGAAAACTAAACACATTTCTTTTTTTATCACATCTAGTTACAAATCATTTTCATTATCACAGAGTACACGTGAGGACACTTCTGACTGACTGAGTTTTCAACACTGAACTTTGCGGAAAAAAAGTACATTAGTTCAGATTACCACACTGTATATGGCACACAAAGAGAGAAAGAATTATAATGAGCAGAAATGTACAACAGAAAGAATCAGTATATGGAGAATGTTAAAAATTTGATTGGTCTAGGAATTCATAAAGAGTGAATGGATCTGTACCTTTGAGAATGACTTTTATCTATATCATTAAAATGACGCTAGAAGATACTATAAAGTACTAGGTTAGGTTTACAGTGATAGTTTGAAACGGTAAGCCAATCAATGAGGTTATGAAGCTATACCAATTTAGATGGCTAGGATATATGTTGCACACGCCAAGCCACCGCTACTTTTGTCGAGAGATGTTAACTAGGATAAAATTAGGTTGAAAATGCGCTAGGATTGGTGAAACTAAAATCTGACATCAGTTTATAAAGTCTCTAACTGTTGATATGAGCCACGTAGAAGGCTGTGAACTAGCTGGTTGGGGTCTTCGGGATGCTAAGAATTAACAGTTTCACAGTGTTGGTGATATGACTGAAAATTGCTCTCAGTGGAGCAGAAGCATTCACTCTATGTAATCTCCCATATCCATTAAATCCTCCACGTCACTTTTCTTCTTCCCGTACATTTCTGTTCATTGCAGTTCTCTCCAGCCGCTTTTTTCTCTTCCTTTGTGCGCTAAATGGAGTGTGGCAATTTCGACCGCTGCACACTTCTGTCTGTCTGTTTTCGACATAGAAATTTGCACCGACGTGCAGCAGTTCAAGTCACCACACCCCATGTAGCACACAGAGCAAGAGCAGAAAGTGGAAGAAATGCATAATAGAGACAGTAGACAGAGATATGAGACAAAAGGAATAGTAATAACGAAGAACAATATAGTTTCATTGGAAATTATAAGTCACAAGGAGTGGATGCATCTGCGCCATTGAGCACTTTGTCAGCGTCTTCACCTAGAAGGACTATCGTCTGCATATTCTAAGTGAACCATACACACACGCGTAGTCCGAGGCTTGATTCCCCACCTATTCACATTTATATGCCACACCTAGTTTATTAGCCAGTAGTAAGCCTGGAAAAGACGGGAGGTTGGAATTGAGGCTAACAACCAAAAGTACCATTAAAATCACCAACTGTTCACAATTACAAGTTGAACTGTGTTGCAGAAGTAGTTTACTTGGTCCCACATTATTAATCGATCATTCTATCAGCTATCCTGTTAAATTAATATATACCCTTAGTTTTTACTTATTTTCATGAAAACGTTCAGTTTCAAGCATTAGTTTATAGGGATTTGATTGGTTTCAATTTCGATCACGGATTGATATCAGTTAGAAAGCGATTGATAACTGGACAGCTGTTTCACCCTAGTTCCGGACATTTCAAAAGTACACACCCATTTCCCACTGGGGAACGGAACCACCAGCTTCAGATTATAGGCCAGCTTGTCGACTACTTAGTCATCAGCGGAATTCACCAAGTCGAGTGTAAGGACAATTACTCGCCAATGATACTAGTTGGCGGTGGGTCTAAAAATCGCGAAATGACAGAAGTTAGAACTCATGGGCCCATAATTACCTAAATAGTAAACGGACTTGACTTGTAATCTGAAAGTCTTAGGTCCGATTACCGGTGAGCCCGTGGCTGTGCGTTCATGAAGAGTCTGAAACCGGGACGAAACGGTTGTCCAGTACTCTCCAGTCTTCGGCAGCTTTCAAAGTGATATCAATGCGTGACCAAACTTGGGATTCATTCAGATTGTGAAAGGTTGGAATGGTCATTACAAAAACGTTGAAAAAAGAGTGATGTTTTAGTACTACGATTCATTGCATACAGAATTCAAAATAAAACAAGATATCAAGCGAAGGCTGGTATGCAGAAATATTTACAAACACATTTTTCAACATTTGAATACTGTCTGTACAATTTTTTTACTTGAATATCCCTTTAATGATCTCCCTTTATCCGTATCCTATGAATGAAGAAAGCTGAACAGTTTTATGCATTTATGGTGTATGCGTACGAGTCTTTATTACTAAACTAGATCCATGGAAGATAACAGTATGCCAGTAGAAAGCTACTAACATTCGAAATTAATACCACTAACAATAATCAAATAACACTTACTTATTGCTGATTCACTTAGCATAGAGTTTGCAAAATTCTCATAAATATGACGTATATCATTATCTAATAGTTGTTGAGCTACTCTGGAAGCTTTATTAAGATTTTCAGGTCGTAAATTATTGATGATTTCCTATAAAAAGTCGGAGATAAAAGACAAAAAAGAACAGAAACAGAAGTGAATTCAATTAAATAACAAATTTGTTCGCAGTTAGCCTTGTAACCACAGACAAGAAAAAGGCTATGACTGCGTAATAAACAACAAGGCCAATGTTACTATCCAGTAGTCTAAATTTCAGTAGATATAATTACTAGATTTGAAGCTATAACCTACCTGCTTAAAGTTAAGTCACTTAGTCACTCAACTTTCCATTAGTCACACTATGGTTCGACAGAGAGATAAAACAAAGAATGTCATGGTAAAATGGAACAGTGTAGGAGTAGAATATGTAGCAAGATGAAAATTACCGAGAATTCTCGATATTTCTGAGATAATAAAAGGCAAATACATCAACATAGTTATGGGGAATTTTCAGACACTGACACGCAATATCTTAACTCTAGATTAAAGGTTCATATATTTTGATACTCATAACTTTTCCCGTGATGTTTGAGCGATCATGTGCTGTTATAAGTATTTTAGCGTCATTACTCTTCTGGAATGCAATATATAATATACAATAGGATTCATGCTTGATCATCGAAAGCCACGCGAGACGTCACCACTAAGCAGTAATTAATAAAATAACGCACATCGAATAGACAATAGTGCTATCGAATCAATTTTAAGTCGAAACAAGAGATTACTTACTTGAACAATATGAGAAAACCCTTTAATTCTTATACCAAACTTGGCTAGTTGGTCTAATCTATCGGATTCACGATTAGTATTTACAACATTAACACGATTGAAGATTGCTAGCATATGCTGGGTGAATACTGACTCCCACCAAGTGTAAACTGACCCTCGACTAACAGTTGCTGGTAAACGAAATCTATTTGTGCAAATACATGATTTTAATTCTTCCAAAACATCTTCTGTCAACATCTTTAAAGTTCGATTTGAGCTGCCCACTGTGAAAGCTGTCATCACACGCGAGTCAAACGAACTGGTTTGTAGTATTTCTAACGCCGCTGGTAACTTGACGATTGGACCAAGTAGACGATACTCATTTGGAGATTCTAACTGTCAACACAAAATAAATGGATGCAAAAAGTCACAAATAGAACTGCTTTCTAAGAAAGTAGATATTAAATGTTATTTGAGTTGTAATAAACTAAGCATACACAGATATAAAATCACTTTAAAGTTGTGAAATTCTAGTAATTGGAAACTTGCTTTTCAGGTCTTAAAGAAACATATTCCAGCTGAGGAAATTTACAGATACAAACATTGGTACTGTGATGACTACACAACTTACGAGATAAAAATACTAATAATAGGTATGCTGTTAGAGGCAAGAGTAAAGAATAGATACCACAGCAAATAGCCCAGAGCCAACCAATTAGATCGTTGAACACTACAAAAGGATGGTTTTTATAGCCTTTATTGTAAGTGTTACGCTGATTTAAAATTAAGATTGCGAAGACCATGGACAGCATCTGTTTGAAATGCTGAGGACTGTGACTATCACCAGGATATATTCACCATAAAGTCGATCACTTATCAGGATTAATGGATCCCAAAACTGGTATTCACACAAATTCCATCGAAGGACTTTGGGCATATAAAAGAAACGGATTAGAGTGACATATGTCTGCAACCACTCCTACTAGAAATTGGGACCTGTTCTTGCAGCATATTAGAGGCTCATACACTATAATTCACTTTTATGTATATCCTGTAGATGTACTTTTTATGCTAAAATACCACATTAGTGAATCCAAGCTCATTTAACCATATACATTCTTTACTGTTGCCACTGTTAGACAATGACCTGTAAACAACTCGGAACTATCACTATCACTATTACTATTTAGAAGCCCATCATACTACGAAAAGGCCACAACCTTGTTAGTGCCTCCCTCCATATTTAATTCAACATAAAATTACGCATACAAAAACAAACCTGTATTATTTGCTCCATATCTGCGAGAGTCAAAACGTTGCGCGTGGTAGCATATGTCCAAAGATGTGTATTTACCCTTTGTATTAACCTCCTGTGCTCCATAATACGAGGTATATTATCAGGACTCATTCGTATGCTTCTAATGAATTCAGTAACTGTCGGATAGTTCTGAAAGTTATGACACATAAGCGCAATATAAAGGTACCCTAAATAGTTCTTCTTGTACACAACCAGGTCCAGTGTGACGGAATTCCTGGGAGATTTTCCACAAAAGCATCTGAACAACATTGTTTACATCTTCCACAGACCTAAACTGATACTGTGGTGCGGATAGAGACTGGAAACCAAAGTTCGACGGCATTTGCTCAGGGAAAGGCATTTTACACGGCTGTGGACCTTTCCAGTACCGCGCTAAGGTCAAATCTCAACCTTGTGCGTACCACATCAATACCCTATAGGGTTTTTACCAGCTAGTACAAACCAATTTGATTTCCTTTTGCTCGCTTCTTGATTGTGAAGTAAAGTTTCTTAGTCTTCAGTAAGCTTCTGCGTAGTTTTTCTCGCCACTCAATTGTTGTAGCTTTGGTTGACTCACAAAAGAGTGGTGTCGGGAATTATTATTTGTTGTTTGTAGTGTACGGTGTGTTAATACTTCGTTGCTACTGTGAGTGTCTTCGACAAAAGAAAAGAGATAATAAAAGATATAATTAGTGTAAGTTATTCAGACTAAAAGACATAAAAAGAAATAAAGAAAACGTAAAACCAGACAGTAATTAAATCTGAAGTTGGTATATATATATATATAAATATTTATATTTATATAATATAAGTAGTAATAAGTGTAAGTTCAGCAGTTGGAGTAATCAGGAAAGTAAGACGGGAGAGAATGTGAAGAAGTAAAACGACTAATTTAGATGTCTACCCATGAATGGCGGGGGATGGGCCATTGGGACGCAGTCCTTGTGTCGCTACATGATTGTCCAGCCTTCGTTCAAAGGCGTCCACAGACGGTACCATAGCTACATCTGCCGGTAAGGAGTTCCAGGGACGGCAAACCCGCAGGGAAAAGAAGTAGGAGAGCACCCGAGTCTTTGCCCTCTGGTGGGCTATCCTTCCGGGGCTTCCACAAAGAAAGCCGACACGTGCTCAATGGCAGAACACCTTTTTCAGGTGATTCTGGTCATTTGTTATCTAGTAGACAGTAGCTAAGTGTGAAGAGGCCTAATTTCTTTAGCCTTTCATCATATGGTTTATTTTGGAGACCAACCACTCCTTTTGTTGCCCGTCGTTGAACTCTTTTCAAGAGGTTGGCGTCTCTTCTAAGCAGTGGGGGTGCAATAATATTATGCACTTCAAGGCGTGGTCTGACGTATGTTTTGTACAACCTTAGAAAGAGCTCAGGAGCGAGTGCACTTAACTATCTATGTGTAAAGTGTATGACCGCATATGTCCCCGCTACGTCCCCCGTGTAATTTACGCTTGTGTCCATTGTCTCCATCAGAACTAGACCTAAGTCACGCTTCGACGTTATGTAAGACAAGCCTTCGCTGCACAGGGTTTAACTTGCATTCCGCAGCCTATGGGTGCTTAATTTCACTAATTTGCACTTTTCCAGGTTGGAAGCCATGCCATTGGCCACGTCCAGTCTTCCAGAAGATTTGTGTATGACTGCAGCCTATCCGAGACTTCCGAACACTTTATTGCTCTCCATATATTTACTTCGTTGGTGTACGGAAGAGTCGGGCAGCTTAGACGGCATGGTAGGTCACTGATAAAAATCAAAAACATCAGTGACGCTAGGATAGAACCCTGCGACACTCCTTATGACGAGTCGTGCCAAGATGGTAGAACACGATAGACCTCAGTGCAGGAATTCCTTTCAGCTAGGTATCCCCTCACCCATGACAGAAGCGGCTCACCTACACCTGCCTGGCCTATATTGTGTATGAGAAGTTCACAGTGAACTGCGTCAAATGCCTTCTCAAATTCTAGGAAGACCACATGGATTGGAACGTTCAAATCCCAGCATGGCGTCTAATCGTTCCAAGCTGAATGTAAGTTTGTTTCACAGGATCTTCCCTTCCTGAAGCCGTGTTGGGCTTCATGGAGTATATTAGTCATATCGAGGTGCTCCCTGATGTCATCATCAATGATACTTTCCAATACTTTTGATACACAGTAGGGCTACTGGTCTATAACTAGTGGCATTTTGCCTTTCACCACTCTTGAAAAACGGAGAAAGGGTGGCTCTTTTCCACTCCCTTGGCAGTTTCCCCGATTCCATTGAGTAATGGAACAAGTCGCATAAGGGCCAACAGAGAGCTTCCGTGCACTGTGCAGATTAGAAGGCCTGATGTCGTCACAACCTGAGGACTTTCCAGATGTGGGTCTCTGTAGCTTCCTCATTACTATTGCCAGGTTTATTTAGGCAGTAACCACCAGGTATTTCTCAGGTGAAGTGGTAGTGCCGCCATTTTGGTCCGTACCAATAATACCCACATTACTGTTTAACTGTTTGGCGAAGGATAAACTGACTACATCAACCATCTCCAGACTAATGAGGTATTGACTGTTTTGACCTACTAAGGCGCATGAATTGATACAGGCTTTTGGGGTTCGCCAGGAATTTTTTAACAATATTGCCTGAAATTACCTCCTGTCCCTCCAGACTCTTGCGTTGCACCGGTTCCTGAGTTCCAAGTATGCCTTGTGGTTAGTCTGACTCTTGGATGCTCGCCACGTAGACAAAGCCTTCCTCTTTGATTACGGAATGCGTTGCGCACCTCTCTTCAGATATGAGGACCTTTTTCTTGTCTGTGTTTTGACTAAGGAGACAGTGTCCGAGATTGCTGTGTGAATAATCCTTTTTACCACTTCCAACTCTTCATCTACAGGTAACTCAGGACATTCTATGGGCGATTCTGCGTCGGACAAAAGCTTCCGTGTTTCGGCATAGTCCGCCTTGTCACAGTACAGACGTGGTCGCGCAGCGTCCGACTGTAAGTGCTCACAAAGAAAAAGATCGAATCCTATGACTGTGTTGTCACTACTTCCGGCGAGTAGTTGGGCACTAGTAAGAATCTAGTTTCGATGAATTTCCACTATGGTCCCACTCAGTGTCTTCTCCAACATTCTTCCTTAGTCCTGTGTTTCGAATGGTTTGCAGTAGATTTTGACCGAATTTTCCCTGAGCATACCCCTAGCCAAGTTTCAGAGATGGGGCATTGAAGTCTCTTTCTGTGGTGATTTGGTCATAGCCCAAGTCTCGTAACGCTGTGACGGTGCTGAGCAGTAGCTGGTTGTGCTCTACCCCACAGGTCGGTGATCGGTAGATACAACCCAGTAAATGTTTGGTGTGACCTATGGTGAAATGATGCTATGTGGAGTCTGGGATTCCATTAAGTGGTGGGTCCATTGCACGTACACATTTAAGTGCTTGTCAAAGTATATGGCAACTCCCCTTCCTCGTTATCCCTGTCTATCCAGACCAGAACCACATCATTTATATTGATTTCATTGTCGGCGATAGTAGGGGTTAGCCCAGCTTAGGTGTGACTGGAGGCTTCTGAGTTCACCTAATTTCCTTATTAGCCCCTCACACTGCCATAAAGGCGGCTGATAGTGAATTTCACAACCTCAGTATGTTGTGGGGTAGTTGACGTTACGTTTTCTGCTGGTAGGGAGCTTAACATTAGGACTAGTTGGCCAATTCCGATAGAACCAACTCGTTGTCGCTTTTTCCTTGGATTCGGATAGGACACTTAGTTAACACTGACTACCATTCTCAGTACCGCATCTCTCTAGTGTCACTGAGGCTTGGGGACGTTTTAAGGCCTCAGTTTGCTGCCTCCCTATAGTTGGAGGTCTGCTTTCGCAGCATCGCTAAGACATGGGAAGACCAGGATAGATCAGAAGAAAGAATTAATCCAAGATACTTAACTTTAGACTGGGTTTCTGTATCAGTATCATCAATTCCGCAAGGACCATAGGAACCAACGGCTTCATTTAACTTTCGTTTACATCGGAAACTGAAATTGAAAGTCTGACATCTGGAAGGATTTAGTTTAAGGCCGTTAAACGAAGACCATTTGCTAATTCCCGATAGAAAGCTGTTCATCTTAGTACAGTCTAGCTGGGAGTTAACAAGCATTGAAATAGTTAGATCATCGCCATACTTAGTAATAATAATTGCTTTATTCCAAAACAGTACTTGTGATACAGAATGGAATTCTCAGCATTTTTACTACAGTATTGCATCCAGTTAGTACATTGTCAATAAATAGAATTCTACATAGATTAAGGAAACCACAGTTCATTATTACAACAACACATTGGCATGTCGGTAGCAAAGGTAAAGCTGAAACAGTGTTTGAGGGTGTCAGAAAAGTGGGAGCTGTCTTATTAACTGGCGTAAGCGAGAGAAAGAAACAAAGTGGCACATAACGGAAAAAAGAGAGAGGGAGAGAAATGGAAAAGAAAGAAAGAAAATGTTGTACCTATTGATGATGTGAGTTGGAGAGACGAGATCTAGTTTTACTACGGACTATTTAATGAACTATAGGTGTCATGCCTAATGCTTTCTTTATCACACAGAACACGAGCTAAGTAGGGTATGGTTGAGTTTTTGTACTTGCTGGTGCGAGCATATAGTTTTCTATATAGGCTTCTGGTTTTGCCTGATGAGATGCAAGGGGAGAGTTGTGAGTGAAGAGGGTGGTGTGAGTGAGATAAAATGGATTTGGCCCATTTTTCACATGAGTCCATGTGCCTGTCAACCAAAATATTAACAAGCTGGTTAAGTGGCACGTTGCTTACCCTGCTGACAACCTTTAACATCCTACGTAATATGTTATAGTCTTTCTTCAGTAGCCCTGGAAAAGCTAAGGGGGAACAATAGAGAATAATAGGCAGGATGCGAGAATTAACGAATTGTAGGAGTAAGGGTTGGGTTATACCAGAATGTTTTAACTTCTTGATGTAGAAGGTAAGACGGAATATTTTCTTAGAAATCGCCAAGA